TCTTTATCTATTGACTTTGTGAGGTACACAAATGTCTGTCTAACCCACAGTCCATGACGTCTTGTCTTTATCTATTGACTTTGTGAGGTACACAAATGTCTGTCTAACCCACAGTCCATGACGTCTTGTCTTTATCTATTGACTTTGTGAGGTACACAAACGTCTGTCTATCCCACAGCCCATGACGTCAAGCCCTTATCTACTGCTTGTGTGGTCACAGAACTAAAGCAAATGTCACATGACCAGCCTAAGCCAATGGAAACAACAACAGACACTCACAGAATGCACATATCCACTGTGTTAGATAATGGCCTTGGAATATCTAACGGCACTTTTGTGAATACAGAAAATAAGATTATAATATAAGTCATACAAAATTACTATTAAACTATGATCAAGTGTGATCATAGTCAAATGTGTTTGTTCGAGTGTCTGTAAACATCTGTATGAGTATTTACAATAATTGCCCCTGTGTAGATTGGAAATAGAAATAAAATATTATATTGATGAATTGATGAGTGGCGTGATTAGTTTTTCATCAGTCGAATCCAAGGGACAAAATCTCCCATGCGTTTGGTGATGTGAGTTTTGTTGCTGGGCTATACAGCTAATAATAGAACTAACAATATAGCTAATTTATCTAACCAACAGTCTAAAAACAACCTAGAGAAGTTGGTTATTAAAAAGCTGAAATGAATGAGAAAATATTCAAGTGTTTAATTTAGTTATTCCTAGAATATTTATCATGAAGTGTTATGAAATCTATAAAAGCTGATAACATTCATATCACATGTATTAGCTTGATATTATTTAATACAGTTTGTTGTTGCTGTTAAATGTGTGTGTTTGTTTTTGGACTAAAAAAAATTATTATTTTATAACGAGAAAAGCCCGTAACAAAGGTAATGTTTATTTTTGTGCGCCTGTACTGGTAAGACTATGAAAAGTATATGATAAGTATATAATAAGTCTATGATAAGTATATGATAAGTATATAATAAGTCTATGATAAGTATATGATAAGTATATAATAAGTCTATGATAATCCCTACATGTGGAGCTGTTGACTTGTATAAGCCAGCCACTATTTCAAATGTAAACTTTGTATTCCCACATATAAGATCTAGATGTTTCTATCAGTCGTTAGCCAGGATCGTCTCAAGGGGGGGGGGGGGGGGGGGGACAAACTTTTTAATTTGCACCCCCTTCAAACTTTCGATTTGCACCCCCCTCATACTTTATATATATATATATATATATATATATATATATATATATATATATATATATATATATATATATATATATATATATATATATATATATATATATATATATATATATATATATATATATATATATATATATATATACATATATATATACATATATATATATATACATATATATATATATATATATATATATATATATATATATATATATATATATATATATATATATATATACCAAGGGGTCTATGGTTATGACCCCCCCCCCTAACCCCCCCCCCCCCCCCTGCCTGCGGCGAAATAATTGATGTAGGTTTAACCTATCGCGAATCCAATGTACGGTGCATTTGTTAATACAACAAGCTGTTAGATTCCGCCAAAAGTTTAATCCCAATAATATCAGGCCGTGTCTTGAGACACCATATCATTGAACATATTTTTTCTCTAAACCGCACAATGAAATTGACAAGATCTTATTCGACTACCCGCCCCATCTTTAATTTAATCTCTTTCTATTTGTTTTTTTTTTAGTTTCAGGGGTACATATTACCTCACTGATACGGAAAAATATAATTTTGCAATCTTGTCCGTATGCCTGTGTGTCTGTCTGTCTGTGTGTGAATGTGTCCGTGTGTAAACACGATAACTTGAGTACCGTTACAGCTAGGTTGATGAAATTTCATATATAAGTATTTTATCAAAATCGTAGATCCGTATCAACTTCTTTTGAGCTATTTCCGATAACCGGAAGTGGTACTTTTCCTACTTTGAATTTTTCAAAAGCCTATAACTTAAGTACTATTTCAGATAGATCAATGAAATTTCACATGTAAGTAAACGATCTAATTCTCTACCTTCTGTTAAATTTTGAGTAATTTTCGTTGACCGGAAGTAGTAATTTACGCTACTTCCGATTTCTCAAAAAACTAATGTAAATTTGTAAAGTACTAATAATATTGCGCACTATTATGCACTTTTTTATTTGGCGTTCACTTGGTGTGCAATTAATTTGTCTATTTATTCTATTTTTAAAACTTTAAGTATTTAAATGGATTAAAAATCATGTCTATAGCCCGAGTTCCCATCCCCTGTTATTTTATATAAGAATATTCGAGAAAGTTTAGGGGAGATCACTCCCGGTTTATTTTTTATTAGCTGCCGATTTGGACTACACATACATAATATATTTCTTCTTACTTGACTAAGTGTAGCTAAACAAAACATGTTTATTACGTGAACTAGAATGCTCTGGGCAGTAGGGCCTATCATGTAACACACACACACACACATACACAAATATACAGACAAGATTGCAAAACTATGTTTTTCCGACGCAGGGAGGTGTAAAACGTCGAGATTTGTAAAAATCTTGCACGATTACAATACTTTATCTATAGGCCTACTTCGTATCCGAGAAAGTATAGAAGTATACATACCCAAAAATGTATACATGCCCAATAAAAAGTATACATACCCAATAAAAAAGCAAGCATACGCAATAAAAAAGCAACCAACATCATCAAAACACGCGAAGGTTTAGGGCAACAACAAATGTTTATGACACCGTCTACATACATGAAGATATAGAAGAAAGATATTGAGATTAGTAGCACTTATACCGAGGCGCTGAACAGACACTTAATTTACACACTAGTCATTTGGTCAGGTACATTTTGTTAGGCGAATTTATTTATGTGTGGAACAAATCAAGGATACAGTACTAAGACCTACTTGTCCATCTTCTATTTTTTTTTCATTAGAAATTGTTGTTATACATTGGAACTAAACCAAATTCTGTTGGTTTTTTTATGTGTGAAGTTCAAGGTCGTTTAATCGTTGCACACACAACACAATTGAATGGATGGAGTCAAATGTTTAATAATTAATTAATACTAACAAGACTTTGTAGCTTCAGTAACATTGTCATAATGAATCATTCCTCTGGTAGACTTAGTGTTTGTTTACAATGACCTTTGCTAGTCAGTCAAAAGTTTGTAATGTTTTATGTAAGACTTTTGTTGGCTTAACGAATTAGCATCTTAACGAGTCAACTGACAGCTATAATTAGTTTAGAAAGTAGAAAGAGAATACATAATTGGTCAATTATGTTGATGGATAATATATTTCACAAATTTGAGTATACAATCTTAAAACGTTAATTTATGTTAATTTATCAGGTCATGCTCAGTTCAATAGACCAAAGGGTCTAAGCAGTAAGTTATGTAGATAGTCTGATGGAGAGTCTAATGGAGAGTCTGATGGAGAGTCTGATGAACTGATATATCGTGTCAGACTTGCTCTTTGATTCTTCAAGACTTTTTTTCTCCGGGGGGGGGGGGGGGGAACACTTGATATTTCATGGGTGGGGGCGGTCAACATTTTCCGGTGGGGGGGGGGGGGGGGGCGGACACTGGAAAAAGTATATTTTTTTCTATATAAATTCCATTTCGTTCGGGGGGGGGGGGGGCTGTAGAATTTATTCGAGTTACACACCCTGACCCCCCCCCCCCGAAGAGATGCCTGGAAGAAACTCTGAACTTGCTGTGCTATAGCCAACAGTTAAAGAACAGAGAGGGGGGGTGGGTTTTAGTTTAAGTATTCGAACAACAGGGTTTATATTCCAACAAATATAACTCGAAACTTTGAGTAATACGAACATATTTTAAAATGCGCAGATATTAAACATATTTTCAAATAATTGATCATATAAAAGCAAGCCATAAAATGCCTAAAACGATTTGAAATCTTATGAAAGTAAACTATGACAAACTAATACCAGTGTAATTGTAAATATGCAAGTTTGTCATAATTGCATAAGAAGGTCGTAAATTGTCAGAGGTCGAGAGACAGATTGGCTTCAGTTTCTGTAACTGTCTTTTGTTTTATGTGAACGAGTAGTTAGCCCATCACACAACCCCCAATCCGGAGGACGAGGGCACAACGTTTGGTCTGGCCCCTACCCGCGCAGATCTGTCCGACTTGGTTAGACCTGCCAGGAGCACTAGTCTCCCGCCAAGCGCTTGAGTGGAACCCCCAGGGGAAGCGGTAGACAGACGCCCAAGACAGACCTGGAGGCGGGGTCTTCTTGTAGAACTGAAGCCAACAGGGATGTCTTTGGAAATTGCGAAAATAATAGCCGGGGGTCGGACGAAATGGAAATAAATTGTGGAGGCCCTATGTTCTTCCATAAGGAGTAAAGAGGACTAAATCAATTTGGCGGTAAACTAGAACTATATTTTTAGTTCAAACTAAAAAAAAATAGTTATAGTTTTTTTAATAGCAACAGGAGTAAAATTCTCAAAATCTGAATTTTTGGTTGTACGGAAAATTCCAGTTATTAAACAACAAATTTAATCAGTTCTGGATTAATTAATTCAACGACCAGTGTGTGGTGTGTGTCAATATAGTTGGTCAGGGAGATTAAGCACGAACCCATAGATACGAGATCAGTTTGTGAAGTTGTGTTTTCTTCTCGGTGAAGTTTTGTTCCTTTTCTTCTTGGTGAAGTTCATTATCTTGTAGGTGGAGTTTTATTGATGACCTATCAGTAGTGTTTTAGAATATTTATTTTTGAATTGGAATTATTGCATTATGAAAATTAGGCAGAAAGCTTATGTTGCTTTATAGATGGCTATCAAAATAGTTGAAACAATTTATTTTGTGAATATTTAAAAATTAGTTGTATATTGTAGTCGGGATATATTTTACTTTTTTTCTTCTTCTTCATTTACAAAAAAAAAAAAAAAAAAAAAAACATTACAGCTGAACTAGACCAAAATGGTTGTGGTGAAGAACTCCTTCGGTCCTGTCGACTATGTTGTCTTTGCCGCCATGTTGATCATATCAATGGCTATAGGAGTTTGGTTCGCTCTCAGGGGAGGCAAACAGAGAACACAAGGTAAGGGGAGATAAATATATAATACAAGGTAAGGGGAGATAAATATAGAATACAAGGTAAGGGGAGATAAATATAGAATACAAGGTTAAGGGAGACAAATATAAAACACTATATGAACCTTGAAAATCTTTCTATCTGTGTGTCGTGATGTGTGAAAACGATAACATACGATAGGTGGACGAAAATTCACAAATAACGATCGATGCTATTCGCAAATTTCCATCACCCTTTTTGAAATTTCTGGAAATCCGACGTTGTACATAAAAAAACCGTCAAGTACCGTTTTTGAGGTGGAGCAAATTTGTTATACACTAATTCGATCAAATAAGTCAGTATAGGAAGGTGAAACAATAACTAACATCATCAATGCTCACTTAATCGTGTGTGTGAGGCTAAAATATGAGCAAAATAACTTAAAGAAAAGACATTGTTGTAACCTATAGAAATTAAATTATGACAAAGTATTTAGCGGTTTTTTTTAAAGCAAGTTAGGTATTTACTGATGCATTAATGAGTACCTTACCTATTTTTTAAAAAGGAGATTGATTCGATGGCAAAGCACATTTATTTGAGCATTACATGGTATTTATAGAGTAAATATTTTATCTTTTACAACCCAGTTGAATATCTGATGGGAAACAGAAGCCTCTCCATACTCCCTGTTGCTATTTCGATCTTGGCCTCCTTCATGTCGGCCATCTTGATTCTCGGAACCCCTGCAGAAATGTATACACAGGTTGTGTTTGTTTCTAACATTAGGTTAACGTGTCTTTGTATATTTTCTAGCGCTGCGTGTTTTATTTTATATTATTTAAAAAAAAAAAATTTTTAATTTTTCCCAACCATTTTTTAATTAACATTGTCTTGTTCACCCAGGGAACAGAATTTTATCTGGCAACTTTTGGTGTCATGCTTGGTGTGGTATTAGCTGCCCTTCTCTTTGTGCCTCTCTTGTATCCATTACATCTGACCAGTGCTTTTGAGGCAAGTAGAAATGGTCGTGTTAAAATGTCAAGTAGGTGTAGCCTAGTTAAAAATGTCAAGTAGATGTAGCCCTGTTGAAATGGCCTTTACTCCTATGTTAAACTAAAACTTTGAGTGTAACATATGTACACACGAATGCAAAAAGGTGCTATGTAGTTCGGGAGATGTTGGTCAATTTTTTGTTAAGATAATGGGTGGGTGAGAGATGGTGGAGTGGGGCATTTAGTCAATCAGAGGCTACCATACACACATATAAGTGTCATTTTACACGGCACTAATTATCTAAATGCGTTAAGAGTGACCGGAAAATATAAAAGCGGAAAATTGCTCTACATATTTGATATTTCAAAATGCACAATCTACCAGCTTGTTCGTTGTTTGCTTTTATTTAAATATTTCAGGTTTTTAAATTTAACAAGTTTCAAACGAAAAAAAAAGAAAAATTACCGTAGAAAACATTTAGTAAAAAACTATTCGATCTGATATTTTTGTGTGTCAATATGTCTTCTATGTAGTAAATATAATTTAACGAGCCAACCCGGGGAGTACCATACGCTGTTATTTAGTGATTATCCTCCACTCCCTCCCCACCCCCTCCCCCGAGAAAGCAGCCGTCCGTGACGACAGTTTACAGACAACAATGAAAAGATTAAGCAGAAATTGTTATCTCCCCTTCGTTTCAAATCGTTTAAAAACTAAATTATTTGCCCCTAATAGCAGTCACTAATTCATTCTGGCGGCCCTACGACTGTAAGCATTCGTCGTGAATCAAAGCTCACCAGACTGGTAGGGAGAGGGGGTAGCGATATGCCTGGAGAGCAAGGGAAGGGGAAGCGAGGCGCGCTTTCGTAGTGGTTGTGTCTCGCATGGTCCCAACGTAGAGAATTATATAGATGCATATAAAAATTACCAGCATACTGTATGCCATCGTGTGAGAGAAAAATTAAAGAAAAAGCTGCTAAACATTTCTTTAATTATCAGTTGAAAATATTCAATTTTCAAATGAATATAGATCTTCTAACGGCTTTGTCATACATGTTTTTTTCTCCACCGCTCAGTATTTGGAGGTCAGATTTGAGTCAAGAGTTGTCCGCCTTGTGGGGACGATGCTGATGATTCTCTCACAGGTAACAAAATATGGTGGGTTGTGGTGGTAAGATATGTTTTGAGAGAGGTGTTGTTTAAATGGGTGGCACCATAGAGACTGCTCTCTGTTGTAAGTACGTGTCACTAGTGAGTCATGTATTGAGAGAGGTGATGATAAGTGATGATAAGAGGTTACTGGTTACCTGACCTGACAAGAGTTAACAGTGACAGCCATTTGACTACAGATATTATAATATTTGTACTCGCTTTTTTTGTTCTCTTTCAGGTGATCTACATGGGCATCGCTTCATTTGCTCCCTCTACAGCTTTAGAAGCAGGTCAGATCCTTGTCTTATCATGTGACGTCTGTATTACCTGCATAAGATATAGGGATATTGGATGTGTTTCTAGACAGGTTTTTATAGAAATTTTACAACAGAAAATGTAAGTAGACTAATTTTTATTTCAGTGACGGGCTTTCCAGCGTGGGGAACAATTTTAAGTATTGGAGCTGTTGGTACGCTCTATACTACAATTGTAAGTCTGGTAGATGGCAATGTAATGATACGCTAACACAGAGAAAACCAGCGTACACACACACACACACACACACACACACATACATATATATATATATATATATATATATATATATATATATATATATATATATATATATATATATTTATTTATTTATTTATTTATTTATTTATTTATTTATTTATTTATTTATTTATGATCGAACTGTTTTAGGGTGGTATGAAAGCGGTAATCTGGACAGATGTCTTCCAATCTGTGATAATGCTGGCTGGTATTTTGGCCATTGTCATTCAGGTTGGTTTATGTCAATTGTGTTTTTAGCATTCAGAACAATTTGATTTAGATTTGAAGGATTCGATCATGTCGTTATAAACTTTGACCTGTTGTTTCAGGGTACTCTAAAAGTTGGTGGTATGTCACGTGTGTGGGAGATCAATGAGGAGTGGGGCAGGATCAAATTCTTTAAGTCAGTGTTTCTTTTTTGACAAATGTGTTACATTTATAGCAGAAATGTCGAGTTACCATTAAACGTATTTATAGCGTAGCCGAAAGTCTTTTACCCATACGTACAAGTCTGTGTTACTGAATGTCTACCCGTCTGCTCCAGCTTTGACCCTAACCCGATGACACGTCACACGGTCTGGAACTTGGTGATTGGGACAGCTTTAAACTGGATGGGGACGTACGGGGTCAACCAGGCCAGTGTCCAGCGATATTTGAGTCTACCGACGTTACGTAAAGCCATGACGTAAGCTTTTTAAAAACGGGTTTTTTGTTTTTTTACGTAAGTTAAAGAGCTGTACAGAAATAAGTTTATTTTTTTTTATTGTCAAATAATTCTTCAGCAGAAATATTTGCAAATAATATTTTTCTTGTTTAATTTAAACTTATATGTGTAATTATTCACGCATCAAAAAGTTGAGTATGACCTACAGAGGTCAAGATCTTTTTATAGGCATTAATGGTGTTAGATTAGACCTGACCCAGTACTGAACCATGCTCTAATCTTAGCTTTGAATACATTGGGAAACTAGTTGTAGAAAATCCTGTTGCGATATCAATTAACTCTAGCAGGCGACACTGGGCTAACCCGTGTGATGAGTCAGTGGACCAAATTTATCCACCCGACATTGGGTGGTTGTGTCAATAACATTTCGTGTTTAAATTAAATGTCTACACTATGAATCCAGCTCAGTGTTGCTCAACATCCTGGGTGTGTTCATTTTGTTGACCTTGACCTGTTTATCTGGTGTTGTCATCTTCGCTTATTACGCCAATCAAAACTGTAATCCTCTGGGTCAGAAGCTGGTCAAGAGCTCCAATCAGGTTAGTGTGTGGGATGGTGACCTATTAAATGTAACTCAAACCAATCTGCTGGAATTTGTTAGTGAGCCGGTAAGAAATCAAATAACACTCAAATAAAACGTTCTTTGTTTGTCCCCAGCTAGTTCCCTACTTTGTGATGGAGACTTTGGGATACCCCGGAGTTCCTGGACTATTTATAGCTTGTTTGTTCTCTGGAGCTTTAAGGTAACTTCACATCCGCGTCTAGATTTTATAAACCAGTGTTTGTTTTCCATGCCAAATGTTTTAGTTCTATGGCCAATATTTTAGCTCTATGGCCAATGTTTTAGTTCTATGCCCAATGTTTTCGTTTTATGGCCAATGTTTTAGTTGTATAACCAATATTTTAGTTCTATGGCTCATGTGTATGCTCTATGTCCAATGTCTAAGCTCTGTCTCGACTTTGTTTAGCTCCGTGTCGTCTTCACTGAATGCACTAGGAGCCATCACTTGGGAAGATGTGCTGAAGCCCAGATACGATCACAGGTTGACGGAGTATCAGAAGACTTTAGTCACCAAAGCTACAGGTATTTTTATACAGAGTATCAGAAGACTTTAGTCACCAAAGCTACAGGTATTTTTATACAGAGTATCAGAAGACTTTAGTCACCAAAGCTACAGGTATTTTTATACAGAGTATCAGAAGACTTTGGTCATCAAAGTTACAGGTATTTTTATACAGAGTATCAGAAAACTCTGGTCACCAAAGCTACAGGTATTTTCATACAGAGTATCAGAAGACTTTGGTCACCAAAGCTACAGGTATTTTTATACAGAGTATCAGAAGACTTTGGTCACCAAAGCTACAGGTATTTTTATACAGAGTATCAGAAGACTTTTGTCACCAAAGCTACAGGTATTTTTATACAGAGTATCAGAATACTTTGGTCACCAAAGCTACAGGTATTTTTATACAGAGTATCAGAAGACTTTAGTCACCAAAGCTACAGGTATTTTTATACAGAGTATCAGAAGACTTTAGTCACCAAAGCTACAGGTATTTTTATACAGAGTATCAGAAGACTTTAGTCACCAAAGCTTCAGGTATTTTTATACAGAGTATCAGAAGACTTTAGTCACCAAAGCTACAGGTATTTTTATACAGAGTATAAGAAGACTTTAGTCACCAAAGTTACAGGTATTTTTATACAGAGTATCAGAAGACTCTAGTCACCAAAGCTACGGGTATTTTTATACAGAGTATCAGAAGACTTTAGTCACCAAAGCTTCAGGTATTTTTATACAGAGTATCAAAAGACTTTTGTCACCAAAGCTACAGGTATGTTTATACAGAGTATAAGAAGACTTTAGTCACCAAAGCTACAGGTATTTTTATACAGAGTATCAGAAGACTCTGGTCACCAAAGCTACAGGTATTTCTATACAGAGTATCAGAAGACTTTAGTCACCAAAGCTACAGGTATTTTTATACAGAGTATCAGAAGACTCTAGTCACCAAAGCTACAGGTATTTTTATACAGAGTATCAGAAGACTTTAGTCACCAAAGTTACAGGTATTTTTATACAGAGTATCAGAAGACTCTGGTCACCAAAGCTACAGGTATTTTTATACAGAGTATCAGAATACTCTAGTCACCAAAGCTACAGCTATTTTTATACAGAGTATCAGAAGACTCTGGTCACCAAAGCTACAGGTATTTTTATACAGAGTATCAGAAGACTTTAGTCACCAAAGCTACAGGTATTTTTATACAGAGTATCAGAAGACTCTAGTCACCAAAGCTACAGGTATTTTTATACAGAGTATCAGAAGACTTTGGTCACCAAAGTTACAGGTATTTTTATACAGAGTATCAGAAGACTTTAGCCACCAAAGCTACAGGTATTTTTATACAGAGTATCAGAAGACTTTAGTCACCAAAGCTACAGGTATTTTTATACAGAGTATCAGAAGACTTTAGTCACCAAAGTTACAGGTATTTTTATACAGAGTATCAGAAGACTTTAGTCACCAAAGCTACAGGTATTTTTATACAGAGTATCAGAAGACTTTAGTCACCAAAGTTACAGGTATTTTTATACAGAGTATCAGAAGACTCTGGTCACCAAAGCTACAGGTATTTTTATACAGAGTATCAGAAGACTCTAGTCACCAAAGCTACAGGTATTTTTATACAGAGTATCAGAAGACTCTGGTCACCAAAGCTACAGGTATTTTTATACAGAGTATCAGAAGACTCTGGTCACCAAAGCTACAGGTATTTTTATACAGAGTATCAGAAGACTTTAGTCACCAAAGTTACAGGTATTTTTATACAGAGTATCAGAAGACTCTGGTCACCAAAGCTACAGGTAGTTTTATACAGAGTATCAGAAGACTCTAGTCACCAAAGCTACAGGTATTTTTATACAGAGTATCAGAAGACTCTGGTCACCAAAGCTACAGGTATTTTTATACAGAGTATCAGAAGACTTTGGTCAACAAAGCTACAGGTATTTTTATACAGAGTTGTGTGAGACCAACTGGAGGGTTACATTGATTTTGTATCTACAGTAATATATGTCTTCTTTATCTTTGGTCTCAATAGGGCGGTATGTTCAGGTAGTAGACCTTACGAGAGCTAACTCGAATGTCTCGAGTTCTAATCACGTGCGTTTGTACCATTTTACTAATAATGCCATTATTTTATAGCTGATAGTTCAACTTTGACCACAAGTTACACAGTTGTTTTGACTTGAATAACAAGGACCTATTCCAGTTGTGTTATCATGTATTAAACTATACCTTTGTATAATGTAACAGTTAAAAAGTCAGCTATTGTTTTTTCTTCTAGTGGCCATTTACGGATGTTTGGCCATTGGCGTCAGTTTTTTGGCTCAAACTCTAGACGGGACTGTTCTACAGGTAACGTGCTTTTGTTTATGACAGCATTTTATGATGTGTAATACACATGTTTTACTGTGGATGTAATCTTGTATCCCCCACCCAGGCCTCTGTGTCTTTGGGTGGTTCTGTAGCTGGACCCCTGTACGGGATGTTTGTGTTGGCAGCATTTTTCCCCTGGGCCAACAGTTACGTAAGTTTTTTTTTTATTCCACATTAATGGCTGTTCAACTAGAATATACTTTTTAATCGATAATCTAGAAGTGTAAGAATTCGATTTTCGAGTCGCACATCTTTATCGACAGCTAGATTATAGACTAAACACCATTACGTAATGTCGATCGTTTTTCTGTCACAGGCCCCATTTCTGATAATCTACTAGTGTTTGGAAGTCTGACTTAACTTGATTGTGTTTCTATCCCAGGGCGCCATATCAGGAGCTCTAGTTGCTGTAGCACTGAGTATGTGGGTGTCCATTGGCTCCTATGTCTACGGCATACGTCTACCTCCAAAGTCATTTCCTAACGGGACGTGTGCGGCGTATTTCAATGTGTCTACCATGTCACCTGTCACTGACATTACAACTTCTACAACCTTGACCTCTACAATGACCTTGACATCTACTGTAGGCTTATCTCCAGCGGTTGAGAGGTAAAAGTTTCAGACGAAAACGTTTTTAGCTTAAAATAATGTGTGAGTCATCTCCCCTCTAATTTTTTTGTTTAATGTTTTTAATTGACGAGTGACCTCTGTGTGCTATTTTTCTGTGTGCGTAATTTTCTTATTTACGAATTTTCTGTCTGAGCAAAACTCTCTTTGCGCATTTTTTCCCTTGCGCACTTTTCCCTTGCGCATTTTTAGTGTTCCAGTTTCCATATACGATAAAGTACGCAGGAGTATAACGGTGAAAACTTGAAATGCAAACAGAAAAATGTGCAAAAAGAAAAATGCACACACAGAAAAATGCGCAAAGAGAAATATATATGTATAAACACATACACATACAAATTTAAACATGCAAGCATAAACACACAACCATACAAACAAATATAAACAAATTGCCACACTCAGAATTTAAGAGTGACCTCTGTGTGCTATTTTCTGTGTGTGAAATTTCCTATTTGCGAATTTTCTGTCTGAGCAAAAATCTCATTGCGCATTTTTTCCCTTGCGCATTTTTCCCTTGCGCATTTTTTTGTGTGCCAGTTTCCATATACGATAAAGTACGTAGGAGTAAAACGGTGAAAACTTCCAAAATATCTGTTTATTATTCAGAACGATTACAAACTTCTTCTATACTCTGTAGACGAGAACATAAAAATGTGATTTCTTTGAAATCGTCCATAATTATACTTAAAAATTTTGTTTTCTAGAGAGGGAATTCAGATGTTGTATGGATTATCTTATGCCTGGTTCTCTACACTGGGCATGGTGACTGTGATAGTGGTAGGACTGATCGTGAGTTTTATTACAGGTAACTGCTTTGTTATTCTCTCGATGATATAGCGCTGACTGTATACAAGAATGTCTGTGTTATAAAACTTTGGTAGCTGATCTCTTTCTGTCATGAGCAGGAGCCAATTCAACAAATGACGTCCCAACCAAATATCAGATCCCTGTCTTCACACGTCTGTGTTGTTGTTTGCCCAACTCCTGGCTTCATTTTCTCAACTGTTATAGACACTTTCAGAGACCTCAGGTATAAAAATATCAATTTAATAATTCTTATTCTTTTTAGCGAAATTCCATTAGATATTTTTAAGTAGTTATAATATAATTTAGTACAAAATATCGTATGACTGAGACAGCCATTTGTAAATAAAGTTTTGGAAATTGACTATATACAGAATACTGTATGAAAATTAGTCCCATAACAAACGAAACAAAAGAGTATAAAGATTAATAGAGTTTGGGAAGACGGGACAATTTCATCAGCCTGCAGGTCAACTCCAGCATCTGTACAGTCGTGACACATCATTACACAATTATACTTCACTATGTTAGAGACCGGCCTATCTCCAACATAGCTATATGTGTGTACATATGGTAATTTTTGTGTGACAGAAGCAGAAATACTGAATGACACACTGTGGAATATTTACAATCTGAACTAAACTAACAACCAGATGCTATCAATAATAACACAAAGTCTTAAACTGTTGAACCATAGAATTAACCGACTACTGTATTTCGGAGCACACAGTGCTACAGCAATAGTACATCAACATCACAAGTGTCGCTCTCTACGGTCTAATACACTCTGACAAGTCTCAAAACGTTCTTACCCTGTCTTCGTCCTGACGTTTGTAGACAATTTATCATCACACATGGCAGAGGGTAAAACATTAGCATGAGAGTGTCCTCCCTAATCCTCTAGTAGGCCCCAAGTTGTAAACAAACCAAGAGAGATCATTAGGGAAGGTACTATTACAGTTGAATTATGATCGAAGATCCATTTATAGATATTATTGTTTATGTTGTTTCAGGAAATCAGATCTGAAGAGAAAGATGAAGATATTTTAGTGGTTGCCCCACTTAACGGTCAAGATGTAAAGTATGTTCTCAACGGTGACTCTAAGCTTGGTATGTATTATGTAGAGCATTTTTTTTTAGATCCTGATTGGGTATACTATATCTGTTATGTTCTGATTGGGTACAATAGATCTACTATGTCCTGTTTGGGTATCTATTATCCAAACGCGATGATGTAGGGTTTTAAAAAAATTTAAATCACATTAGTACAAAAACGTCAAGCAAACAGTTATTTTACCGTAAACAAATATTTTACACAGAGCGTACTGAAAATAGCTTACACTAAAGTTATCGAATACATTTTACACTGAATAACTGAAATATTGTTTTTACTAAACTAACTAAAAAACTTTTAAAAATATGTGTGACCCTCAGCACATGACTTGAAAGCTCCACCAGTTACTGACACTGAGCTGCAACAAATATCACGTGACCACAAGGGTCGTCAAACGGACTTCCCTAGAGACGCAAATCCTAGCACTCCTCGGGAAAACAACAACCCAGCTACATCATAACACATCCTGAAACTCTACGGAAAATAACATAATTGTTACATCATTGTTACATCATAATACATTTCTTCCTAAATATCAGTTAAGGTATCCAATAGAAAATACAGTGAATTACGCTTTTCTTTATAGTTATTTAAATAGTAGTGTATTATTTTATATTTAAAGAAAATAATTTATTTTATCTTTTTTTTTTTGCATTTTTACATAAAAGCTTGTTATCAAAACGTTACAAGCTTTTATTTAACTTGCTTCTTCTGTCTCTTGCACTTTTGTCGAGCTTTGGTCTGTCGTCATTGATCGAAACGGGCGAGCGAAATTTCGAGCACATTTAACCGACTAATTTCTCTGAAATTCGACACGTGGGTCAAGGCCCGATGACTTTGTAATCTGACATAAGATTTCACTTAATTAGATGATTAATTACATGATTTTTATAAATTAATTAAAACTTTCTGAAATTAAAAGGGTGCCCTAGTACTATTCCGCACTATTAAAACGCACATTATCATGTTCATTTAGTGAGCAAATGTTTTTAGTCATGAAACTATTTTGCATTGAAAATATAAAGTACTGAAAAAATGCATTGAAAAAAAATGCATATAAACGTTTTAATAACCAGCTTTTATGTAATAATGCACTAAAAAGGAGAAAAACAATAGTTTTTATTACCTTTTTTTTATTAGTTTTTTTAAATTAAATGTTGAGGTGGCGTGCACGATTCCGGCAAAAGCGAGACTGCAGTGACGTTTACTGACACACCTGGTATTTTAAACTTTTAAATAATAGCTTATATTAGGTCAGTTTTAAGATGAAAATAAAACAAACGTTTTCTTGTAAAAAAATTACCAATAAATTAGCGTATACCAAACTAGAATATTAAAATGTTTTGCTTTGTTTGAAAAATCAAATGGTGAATAATTCTTATGTGTAACAGTGAAGAAAAATGTATCTGACTTCGCTCCCTTTAGCTTAAAATTTTGACCCAAGAATGACAGACTTTATAGTGTAGAAATCAAAAGCTCTAACAAATTATTAAGCTAATGTCTTAAGCGTCTTTTTTTTTAAATTAAAAGTAAAAAAAATGTCCTCGCACGTTGGAAACTACAGGGAAAGTATCCAGCTTGATTTTTTTTAGTGAATTTTAAATTCACTTGCAAAAAAAAAATGTTTAAACATTTATTTTAAACAGATTATTTTTCTCTACACATTTTAAAAAGCTATCAATGTTTCCGCATTATGATAGTAAAAAAAAAGTATTTTTTTGGCGCAGTCTAAGCTTCTTTAACCAAACCAAATCGGAATTTAAAATTGTATAGCTATTCAGTATCATAATTTAATTAACAACGGTTGAATACCCCAACGGGTTGAATATACTTTTATTATCTCGCTTTTAATTTAATTATTATACATATGATTTATAATCATGTCTTTGAAACTGCATAAAACTGCTAAGGAAATTGTTATTATTGTTTTAAATGTTTAAAATAAATTTATATAAAAAGAATATCCTTCTATTTTGTCTTTATTTTTGGTTACAATATTTATAATTTTTTTTTTTAATCCCAAATTTATTTTCATCTCTAGTTAAAAGCCCAAACCCCTTAAACCCACCCCACCGAAAAACAACAAATCACCATTTAATTACACTTTCTCAATTTCAGGTTAAAAAAAATTGTAAATAGACGTTTTGTATTATATATAAGTAAACCATCTTAAATTAATGAAAGACCATGTCAGAAAGAAGTATTACTATTGTAAATCTGTATCAGTCCTCACAAGCCGATGATGAAAACTGTAACACTAAAGCTAACATGGCAATGCAAACACACTGTAAATTACAGGTCTGAGGCAAAAATTAAATTAAAAAATAAAATAAAATAAACATGAAAAAAAAAGTATCTCGCGGCCTAACTTGATGAGCGCCTGACACCTCTTAAAGGACGACTCGAATGTGCTTGTGTTGAAATCATCTTTTAATACAGGTAACGTCAAAAGATTTTTAAATTTGATATTTACCTAATCCAAAGTTTGGGCTGAGGAATTTTAGCACATTGACTATATAATGATATTTACCTAATCCAAAGTTTGGGCTGAGGAATTTTAGCACTTTTATTACATAACGACCAGTGGTGGATTAAGGGGGGGGGCTGAAGGGATTGCAGTCAGCGGTCCTCGATTTTTTAGGGGCCCCCAAATTTTCACTTACAAACCATAGTAAATTTCACTTCACAACTTGATTGTTGTTTTTTACTATAAAAATCAATGGTTTGAAGCATAAATCACATTTTCTTTTTCATTTTTTTAAAATATCAATCATGTGTACACACTTTACTATAAATACCAATTGTCATCATCTCCTACTCACACGTTATTTACATTAAGCTGATAATCCATAACATAGTCCGGACCAGTGTTCGCTTATGTCAATAAAATGAGTTGATTTTTAGAGTTTAAAAAGAAATACCACAAACAGCTGCAGAATTCAGCCCAAACATTTTCGGGCTTACGATTGACCCTCTTTAAAATAGTAAGATAGGAATTTGAAAGTCATTTCGTCAGATAACGTCAGATTGTGTTGTAAAGGGAGTAATCATAAAATAAAGCACAAATGTTAGGCATAGGGTCTACACTGTTTATTAAATCTCACTCGCAAGCATTCATACAAGAGCATTTTAAGCGGGCCTCAAATTCACTCATTTTTTAAGTTTCTACATACGTTTATTTTTTGTCAGTTAATTCATTGTTTTAATGTCTAAATTAAAGCTATTTTTAAATAAACCAAGGCCACACAAAAATCCTGTGTTTACAGCAGCTGACATCTCTTTCCCCACGGCAAATGTTTACCTAAAGCGACTCATTTTAAATAATAGAAAAACTTTTTCTGGCACATAAATGGGTTCGTCAGCCTGTATCGGAAAAAAAAACTGAATCTCATCAAAAACAAACTAAAAAACAAGTTTTACTATACGTTTGTTTATGACTAATCCGCCTAATTGTTTCCAAAAAATTACCAGCTAGAGATAGGCCGTACCCTTTAGCCCTATAGCCCCTAGAAAATTTAAAATCGTATAGCCCTTCTGATCTGCACCGTTCCAAAACACAAGGTTTTTGTAAGGTAAGAATTGTGTTTTTAGGGTGTTATTGGAAGTGACAGGTCGGATAATAACGTTGTTTGTATGTACCAAATTAACAATAAATTAAAACCGAATCTAGACGCCAAGTGTTTGCAACAAGAATATGGTGAGGTTTAGGCCCTATCTCAAGATTACCGAAATTGAAGTCGTCAGGCCTTAGCTCGTCCCCAAATTTTAAAGGCTCCCACATTTTCCCTCTTTAACAATAACACACATAATATACGTTTGTCCTTTAGTATTAGTAAGTCACAAACGCACAAGCTGTACATCGCTTCCCGTAAGACAATGTCTATTAAGGAGAGATGTCCTTAAAATAATAAAAACACTATGACACTGGACTAGTTTTTGAATATATATATATATATATATATATATATATATATATATATATATATATATATATATATATATATATATATGGGGGGGGGCGCCAAAAAAATTCCAGCTAGGCGCTCCGCTCAAGCTTTATCCGCCCCTGATAACGACACACGGGAAGTACTTTTTAACGGCGTTGATGAATGTTGAGAGCATTTCACCTTTATTGATGAGTGGGAATAAACGGAGGAATATATTTGATGTTAACGCGATTTGCAATAAAGATGTATGATTTTTAAAAAGATTGTGATCAATTTCATAATGAGTTAATTTGTAAAATTTAATTATTATAAAACATTGACCGTTATAGCAGCTTTGAACTGTATCAGTGATTGATGTCTTAAATAACACCACACACCTGATACTAGTTATTGAACTATTTATAATATGTGCAGCTTGAGTGAACATATATATATATATATACATATATGTGTGTGTATGTGTGTGTGCCCATACACACAGGGTATACTTAACCCCATTCCACCTCGCACCACACCACCTAATCCCGAACGACCCCATGAACCAAAGAACACACTACCCGACCCAACACCCCTACCTGAAACACTCCCAAGCCTCACGCCCCCAATCACACTAGCCCAAAACTGCATACCTGATTTCTTTAGCCCGGGCATCAAAGAAAACTTTCTGCATCACTGAAAATCTAACACGGTTACCTACGGGAGCGTAACGTGGAAGTCTACAGTCGTTTCACATATAGCCTGAGTGCCGGATACGCTGACACAGTATTCTTACAACAAGTAAGTAAAATATTGTGAACTAGTTGGTCAAACAAGTTGTATGAATGATTCGCGAATATACCTTTTTTGTTGAAAAATATTCTTAAGAATAAATAAATTACGAAAAATAAAATCGTAAACAAAAAACCTAACTTTATATTTATAAAGTGATCATAGATATCATAGTGCTCATGTGAAAGTCCGGGGCGCCATATTGCACCCTTCGGAGCCTCGGCCCATTCGAAACTAAATAACATCTTATGGGTTCGTTGCGATTGTATACTCGTGTAGGAATGCATAAAGGGCAAACAAACAAAAACACGGCCATATCCACAAACATTTGTATACATAGAGATTAGACTGTCTCACTTGGTTTTATATTTAACTAGCGTACCCGTTCCCGCGCGTTGCATAGAAGAATAGAAGAAAGTCCGACGAAATATATAAGAACGGTTTAATCTATGCGTTACCAATGCTATATTCTTAGAAGCATGACTGTGTTTTCTAAGTGAGTTATTTAAATGTAAACAATGCCTGCGATTGGATCATAAATATCAGGACACGGGTTTACCTACACTACCGCATGAAACCTTGAGTGTACATGAATCACTCACCGAAATAATCAGATAGAACACACTTTGGTGACCGCCCATGTGTCAGGGACGTAGAGGGGCGCTCTCAGCAGCCCCCCCCCCCCCCCCCGATTACACTAACGCAAAGGCGCCACGTACGGCCCCTGGCTCCTTAAAACTAACAGGTGCCATCGTGCTCATATGATAACCCAGCGTGCCAAATAGCATCCTGTTAACAATGATGCAGATTGCGTCATTTGCTAAAGTGACACAAATGAACAGGATTTTTTCCTCAGCACGTTAAAAAAATTATTTGACGTGTTTTAAACATCAGAGTGACTGATGCAATATGTTAGCGTTACTAATGGTCTATTATTAGATGTTCGATCTCAATTTCTCATTGGATTATCAAAAAATAGTTGCTAATTGCATCATTCGCAAAGTGACGAAACTGTTTGGATTTTTTACGGACAAAAAGAAACATCCCAGTTAATAATCTAACCTTGGTTAATTTTTCTGATTATTAAAATAAAACGTATTACATGGCCCTCATCGGCTCATGTGATCCTTTGGGGGCTGAAACAGACATTTTTATTTGCAGCCTAATCGCACCCTACCAGGGCGCCAGAGGACACGCCTTATTCAATTTAGGGAGCGTTTGTAACGCCCCATCTTATCCATTGTTTATCACACTGTTTAGACCGAACGTAGTCGTCATAGCGCTCACGGGAAAGACCAGGGCGCCAAATCGTATCCTGCCGGGGGGCCGCCCATGCAAAATTATAATCCCCCTTCCCCACCACCCACCCACCCCTATTCCCACCCCAGAAACCTTCTAGGGAGTATTCATCAACTCCCTAAATTTTTATGGCATCGGGATAAACTGTGTCGAACCGCAATCGTCTTTTTTATATACCGTATAGAGAAAAATCTCACAGTTCCGTGGCGCCGCCCTTGCGAAATTAAAAAAAAATTATTTTTACAGAAACTTTCCCAAGAAAGTTCTAATCAACTCCCCAAAGTTTGATGGCGATCGGAATAACGCCGTGAAACCGCAATCGACGTTTATTTTTATATACCGTAGATAGAGAAAATCGTACTCTCCTGTGGCGCCACCCTTGCGAAAATAAAAATGATTTTTTTAACAGAACCCTTCCCAGGAGTGTTCTAATCAAGTCCTTGAAGTTTGATGGCTAACGAATGAACGTTGTGAGATCGCAATCGACTTTTTATTTTTATATCATAAATAGAGAGAAAACAAATCGCGCCCTGTCGGGGAACACCCCTGCGAATTTGAAAATATTTTTAGCGTAGAAACCTCCCCAGGGATATTCTCAACATCTTCCCAAAGTTTCATGACGATCGTGTGAACGGTGTCACCGCAATTCACTTTTATTATTTTTATATACCGCATAAAGAGAAAAATTGAACCCTCTCGTGGCGCCGCCCTTGCGAAATTAAAAATGATTTTTTACAGAACCCTTCCCTAGAGTTCTATAATGAACTCACCAAAGTTTCATGCCTATTGGATGAACGGTGTCAAACCAAAATCGACTTTTATTTTTTCATACCGTATATAAAGAAAAAACAAATCGCGCCCTGCCGGGGCGCCACCCCTGCGAATTTAAAAAAACAATTCCGCGGAAACTTCCTCATGAATATTCTCAACAACTTCCCAAAGTTTCACGGCGATGTGATGAGAGGTGTAGTAATGCATAAAGGACAAACAAACAAACAAATAAACAGACATTGCTTTATATATATATAGATTCTTTCCTAATATAATAATTTACATTTTATTGCAAGTAGGCCTATACCTTATTGTAATAATAATGAGGAGAATTTTTTTAATTAGCTTTGTACAAATATATAATGTTAAAATAGCTATCAAAATAATTACGTCGGCAGGCTAAAAATAGAACTTTAAAAGCGAGTTTTTTCTTCTCACAACAAGATTTCTTAGTAGACTTCGTAGTGCTCAAAGTTGAACAGGTTGTTCGGTTATAAAGCGGAGACCTCAAGTCTTATACAAAAAAACTTGCTTAAAAAATGTCCGAATCCCCCTTGATAATTATTTAAATGAGTTTATCAGCCCCCATTCGACTATTTGAGCTATCGTTATTGGACAATTTAAAGAAATTGTAATGTACCCCCCCCCTATTTTTCGACTATTTAAATGTGTTTTGAGTTCTCTATTCAAGTTCTTGATGGAGTGTTATTGGCCTTCTATTTCAGAGCTCCATTTTCATCTATTTAAATATAGGTCATGGGTCCTTCATTTCTGTTATTTAATGGAGCGTTCCCCCCCCCCTTATTTACGATGAGTAATCCCCCCCCCCCACTCATTCATCTATTTTAGTGAATGTTATGTGTCCCCAATTCGACTATTTAAAAGAGCTTTACGCCTCCCCCCCCCCCCCCCCAAAGACTATTTAAAGAAGAGCGAATAATCATGTAATTGCTTTGAACCTTTGCCTATCTTGAACACGAGAACGTGTGTAATGTTTTTTACATTTTTCTACGCAACATTGAGGCTTAGTGAACAATCACCCGTGTGATAAATCAATTTGTTTTTACAAAACTACTCTCATTAAGGTAAACGAAAAAAAAATATTTTGGAATTTTAAAGTGGCATTGTTTTTATTTCAGTCGGATATTTCGACATACCAAACGGTCTGAGGCCCTCCGCATTAAGGGTCTGACGGTAGTTCCGCTCCTGACTAATTGCCTCACTATAATTCTATGCAACTGCCTATACGCAACTCTTTACATGCAACCTATCGATTATATTAAGTCTCGCTTCACCAATTTAATAGGTTACTATTTTAATAAAATATTAAATATATTTCAATTAACCCAAACTTTGTTTTCCATTAAACTAATAGCCCCCCCCCAACCCCTCCAAATGTAAATGGATTTACACCTAACGTTTCATTAAAATAAATTACAACCCCCCCCCTCCATCCCCCTCCCCGAGTTACGTATTAGTGTATGGTGACATTCTCTTCTATAATCCCCATCATGAACTTGTTTCATTTACATATCAAGCCACAGCTGTGGTCTAGGACTCTCTGACCGGCTGCAACCGTCATCAAATTTTGTTTCCTGCTCACAGCACAATGTGCTTTAGGCCACCATATACTGGTAAGTTTTAATTTTAGACAACATTTCTTTATGTTCGACTATAGTTTATTAAAACATACAATGTATGGCACAATTAACAACAATGATTTCTCAAGAATTTTGTATTTGTCTCATTTTCAAAATCTACAAATGTGACACAAATGTGACATAGAGAGGAGACAGCATTCCAGCACATTCAGCATCTTTATTTAGACCTCAAAAATATCCAAACCCCTAAACAGTGTATAGAGTACTCAAAAACAAAACACTCGTGTTTAATGCATCAATGTTAAAACAATACTTTGCTATTGTAGGTTATTATTCAAAATGATATACACGCTTCTGGCGTCTACGTTAATCATAAACTCGACAATATAGTGATATCAGTATGAACTCTACAAACTGCTATATCTATGTTTGAGTTTTTTATATTTATTTAGCCTTAAATAAAATTTACTATCTCATTTAAATAACAGCAAAATCAGAAAAAAAGTAATACGTATTGATTTATAGTATAAAACATTGTGCCAACTTATCGGAAAATGGTAAACATAATATAAAAAAACAAGGCTTAAGCAACAAAAGAAAAAAAATGCATAAAAAAGGAGAAAATAAATTATTTTCTTTAAATATAATAATATACTACTATTTAAATTACTGTAAAATTTATTAGGCATCCACTTAAATAAAATGTAATGTCATATTGCATTCTCTTCAAGACTTGTCCCACGAGCCAACTTTGAAACTAATCTGTCAGCTAGAAGTGCCCGAAATTTCTCTCGTCCTTTCGGTCTATGAGAAAGCAAGTTAAATAAAAAGCTTGCAAAGATGGAGATTAAATATTAATTTTGGAAATTAAATATTAACTTAAATACCAAAGTTAGCATCAGAGTAATTTTCCTAACAAGAAAATAAATTTTAATTGATGTATTATGTTCACCCTACTAATACAAAATTTTATTGAATACTTTCTACCCGTCTAAGCAAACAAAATTTGACACTGAGTGGTATAATATTTTAAGTACGAGCTTTTTAAAATATTTTCTTTGTTTCCTTTTCTCTAATAATGCGAAGAAATTAAACCTTAGGTAACATACTAAAAATTTCGAGCGGTGTGTAACATACAGTAATCGTGTAGTACAGGGGTTCCCAACCCCGTGCCTGCGGGCGCTATGGCGCCCGCCGAACGATTCGTATGTGCCCGCCTCTCACTACTCGACAGAGACAGAATTTTTTCCATAAACATTATTGAAAGGTTGAAGGGGATGAAAATCGAAAGTTTGATGGGTTTGGGGGGGGGGGGGGGGGTGCAGATCGAAAGTTTGAGGGGGGGGGGGGTGCAAATCGAAAGTTTTGTCCTGGGGTGACGGGAAGGGTCAAGGGTCGCTACGCCTCTGGAAGGAGTTTGTCGATTTAAAATAGGTGGTGCCCGCCACCCAACCGATATTTTAGAATGTGCTCTAGAGTAAAAAAAGGTTGGGAACCCCTGGTGTAGTAGTTGTAAAACGATGAACGCGAACAGCTTATTGAAACAGAATTATTTAGTTCAATTTTTAATTTGCTGTGTACAGAGTATGGTCAAAATCAGGGGTCTCCAAACTACGGCCCGCGGGCCGGATGCGGCCCGCGAGGTCATTTTATCCGACCCGCGACGATATTTGTCGACTGAATAAATGTTTGTTGGAGGTGGCTGAGGAGCTTTGCACAGAAAATTCAAAACTATTTGAAAATGTAGCTTTGTGTGCAAATACAATTACTCGCCGTGTTGCAGACATTGGTGAAAACATAGTGACTCTAATAGCGAAAAATTCAAGGAAGTTCAGCCATTTTTCAATTGCAATGGATGAGTCGCTGGGCAGCTGTTCCACCTCTCAACATTGTGTGTTCATTAGAGGTGTGGGTGAAGACCTGAACATAACACAAGAGCTGGCTTCCCTACTTATAATGTATGACACTGTTACCGGAGAGGATATTTAACCATAGATAGTTCAGAGACAAACACAAAAACGCAAGATTTACCATATTTCACATCAGTAAGATTGCTAATTTTGCGAGAACATTCTGAGCAGAGTATCTAAGAAAAGAAATAGGTGACTTTCTGATAGTAAAGGCAAGTCACAGCCATTTTTGTCTGATGAAGAGTGGGTATAGAAATTGGCCTCTGCTGCAGACATAACTAGTCATTTAAATTTTCTGAACCTAAAACGGCAACAGAGTGAAATCTAGTTTCTGATCTATACATCCACCTAAAAGCCTTTAGATACAAACTTGTCATGTTTTTGGAACAAGTACAGGCCAACAACTTGACACACTTTCAGCAGTGCAAGGTCTTTACGGCTGAAACAACCACTGAGTTCCCCACGTCATTACATTCGAGATCATTAAAGACCTCCAGCTGCAGTTTCAGTAGCGGTTTTCTGACTTGGATTCATAGGCAGAAGAAGTGAGACTGTTTCAAAGCCCATTTGAAGAAAATGTAGCCAGTTGCAGCTGGAGGTCATTGAATTGCAAGAAAATGACTCCCTTAGAGACACGTTCAAAGAAGGGCAGATGGGTTTTCATACGTTTTTGCACAAGGAAGTCTTTTCTAACAGTAAAATTTTTGAACAACATACCTGTGTGAACAATCATTTTCAAGAACAATTTGAGAGCAAACGTGGAGGGGAGGGGGTGGACACTTGAAATTTTTATATATTTTTTTATAAATTATATTCCGTTGGGGAGGGGGGAGGGGCGGTAGACGTTCTTCGGGGGGGGGGGAGGGTGCGCCACGACCCTTAAGAGATGCCTTAAAGAAACTCTGGCCCCCGAACTGATATTTGATAGTTAATGCGGCCCTCGGCCTGAAAAGTTTGGAGACCCCTGGTCAAAATGATAGGCTTGCAAATTCTATGTAATCATACAAAATTAAAGTCAGTCGGATTGGCCAGGGAAAGTAAAACAATGAAAATCACAACAATTGTTTTCCATGATAAAATACAAAATATCGGTAATTGGTGTATAACCTAGTAATTTATTTATATTAAATAATATAACATCCCCTATCACCACAACACCCTGACTCTACTAATCCAAATGAAAATTAATAATTACTAGCAATTATTTGTTTCAATATTTCTAGCCTTAGTAAAACCTGGTGTCATTTTGTATTTATTTCTCAAATGTTATAAAATATTCAATTTTGGTTGAACAATATACTTTCTGGAAACTTCTAATGTAGGATGTGTATATCCTTCATCTGAAGCTCAATCAAAATGGTTGTGGTGAAGAACTCCTTCGGCCCTGTCGACTATGTTGTCTTTGCCGCCATGTTGATCATATCAATGGCTATAGGAGTTTGGTTCGCTCTCAGGGGAGGCAAACAGAGAACACAAGGTAAGGGGAGATAAATATAAAGTACAAGGTTAAGGGAGACAAATATAGAATACATGAGAGGCACCAAAATAGAAATTAAGTAAGTGGAAAAACAGAGGGGAAAAACACTGTACTTTTTTATGTGTGTGCGTGTGTATGTGAAAAATATAGAGCATGGTAATCGTGCCGATAATAAAAAATTAACATTTTTTACAAACCTCTACGTTTTACACCTTCCAGAGTGTAGTTTCTAGTTATGCGATTTTGCCTCAGTCTGTCTGTCTGTCTGTCTGTCTGTCTGTCTGTCTGTCTGTCTGTCTGTCTGTCTGTCTGTCTGTCTGTCTGTCTGTCTGTCTGTCTGTCTGTCTGTCTGTCTGTCTGTCTGTCTGTCTGTCTGTCTGCCAGCTTACCTGCCTACCCACTTACCTGCCTACCTGCTTACCTGTCTGCCTACTTACCTGCCTGCCTGCTCACATGCCTACCTACCTGCCTGCTTACCTGCCTGCTTGCCTACCTGACTGCTTACTTACCTGCCCGTCTGTCACGGGCTTATAATATTTAATTTTCAGTTTAATTAATTAAGTTTCAGTTTTCATTCAAAGATTTTGTCAGATTTAATAGCAAGTAATGTATATATATATATATATATATATATATATATATATATATATATATATATATATATATATATATTTATTTATTTATTTATTTATTTATTTATTTATTTATTTATTTATTTATTTATTTATTTATTTATTTATTTATTTATTTATTTATTTATTTATGTATTTATTTATTTATTTATTCATTTATATATATATATATATATATATATATATATATATATATATATATATATATATGTGTGTGTGTGTGTGTGTGTGTGTGTGTGTGTGTGTGTGTGTGTGTGTGTGTGTGTGTGTGTGTGTGATCAAGAAGTGGACAAAGAGAAATGAAGAACTCAGCTTAAATTCCTGTCAGTCGAACACTTTACTAGACATAGCATTGGGGTAACACCAAATTGTAGTTTAAGTATTTCATTGATGTCGAGGGTGCGACCCTGATTTACCGCACCCCACCTAGTGGAGGCGCTGGTGTTAGAAGATGGTAATGTGTGTTTGTTGTAGATCTGGTGTTATCTGGTACTAATGTGTGTTTGTTGATTAAAACAGGTGAATACCTAATGGGAAACAGAAACATGCACATCATACCTGTAACTATTTCCATGTTGGTATCTCACATTTCCGCCATTTCGATTGTTGGAATTCCAGCAGAAATGTACACGCAGGTAGGGAAGACGACAGAGGTAACATACTATGTAAGGGCGGGTGAACTCACAACATTTAATTGGGTTTTTTAATGATAGTCGTATATCCACATAATTGTTGCTTTCATATTTTAGAAATTTAATTCAATCAAATGAATATTGAGATGTATTTGTATGTATTTCAACCATACCCAGGGCACCGAGTATTATGTGGATACTTTTGGCTGTATGCTCGGCGTCACCATCGCTGCCTTTGTATTTGTACCACTCATCTACCCTCTAAAGCTTACAAGCGTATATGAGGTCAGTGAATATTAAACGCCTTGATTGTTGAGGGGTAAAATATCGTAGAGGATAATCTACAAGAGCACAGTATAGGTAAATAAATAAATGAATTTGATATATATATATATATATATATATATATATATATATATATATATATATATATATATATATATATATATATATCCTAATCTATACAGTACTTGGAGAAAAGATTCCAGTCCAAAGCTGTCCGTTTGGTTGGAACATTTCTCATGGTACTTTCCCAGGTAAAGTTTTTTCATGCCACTTGCCCAGGTAACATTTTTATGATTCTTGTCAGTTAACTGGAGCATGGTAGTATAAGTTGAGTAGTTTAACATGTAATGGCAGGAGTTAATAGAAAAATATGGCAGACAATACTATTGCCTAAAACCCTGGTCAATTTTTGTCTCAAATGTGTCCATTGTGTTAGTAATCTTATATGAGAACATTGTTATATGGTAGATGAGAACATTTGGATAGTATATGAGAACATTTAGATGGTATATGAGATCATGTAGATGGTATATGAGAACATGTAGATGGTATATGAGAACATGTAGATGGTATATGAGAACATGTAGATGGTATATGAGAACATGTAGATGGTATATGAGAATATCATGATATATGAGAATCCATTTAAAGGCCGTTGTCTATCCTCAGGTGATCTACATGGGCGTGGCTTCTTATGCTCCGGCTACAGCTCTAGAAGCAGGTCAGATCTTTGTCTTATTTTCTATTTCACTGGTCTGATAAAATGGGGACAATATTCACGGTCGTTTATTGAAACTAGATTTGTTGTTTAATTTGACTAGAACTGAATTTCTGAGCTTGTTGCCTGCTTTGTTCTGAATGTGATTGATGCTGTTGTTGTTGTATAATTACAATGAACGCACAATAGATGCTGTTTTTCCTTTCAGTGACAGGCTTTCCATCGTGGGCAACCATTGTCAGTATTGGAGCTGTTGCTACTTTATATACAGCAATTGTAAGTCGGGTCGATTCTGATAATTTATACCGGCCTAAATGATGACTTGTGTACAAATAAATGGGTTACTCGGAGCATTGATCTGCTTTATACAAAGACAACGGCAAAGGTTAATGACCTGAAAATATGAATTTTTAAACACAGGAAGTAGCTGTTGATTGGTCGATTCACTCTCACCTATCTAAACACACACACACACATATATATATATATATATATATATATATATATATATATATATATATATATATATATATATATATATATATATATATATATATATATATATGATCAAATTGTTTTAGGGTGGTATGAAAGCGGTAATCTGGACAGATGTCTTCCAATCTGTGATAATGCTGGCTGGTATTTTGGCCATTGTCATTCAGGTTGGTTTATGTCAATTGTGTTTTTAGCATTCAGAACAATTTGATTTAGATTTGAAGGATTTGATCATGTCGTTATAACCTTGGACCTGCTGTTTCAGGGTACTCTAAAAGTTGGTGGTATGTCACGTGTGTGGGAGATCAATGAGGAGTGGGGCAGGATCAAATTCTTTAAGTTGGTGTTTACGTTTTTACTTTTTTTAAATCGCGCTTCACAGTTTATCTCTGGATGGTGTGACCGAACGGTAGACCATCTGGCTGCTATTCCGAAGGTCTCGAGTTCGGATCTCGGTTCGAACTTACAACTGTAGAAAGTTCCAGAGTCTACCCAGCTTTTATGCTACCTAATTTACACTGGGGAAAGTAAAGGCGGCTGGGCATAGTGCTGACGAAACTATTCCTTCGTATACCGAGGTCAAGAAACATACGAACTCTACTTCATCTGCCCCGTGGATCGCTAGGTCTGAGAAGGAACATGACTTAATTTACACAACTAGCCAAAAGCTAAAGTTTTTATCATACCGTTAATCTGAGGCTGTTTTAAATTATAGTCGCAGGTAGCTCGCTGGGCATATTTAGTCATCTGGTCGCAGGTAGCTCTCTGGGCATATTTAGTCATCTGGTCGCAGGTAGCTCTCTGGGCATATTTAGTCATCTGGTCGCAGGTAGCTCTCTGTGCATATTTAGCCTTCTGGTAGCAGGTAGCTCTCTAGGCATATTTAGCCTTCTGGTAGCAGGTAGCTCTCTGGACATATTTAGTCATCTGGTCAAAGGTAGCTATCTACTCTCTCTTCAGGGTTTTCTTCCAGGCAGGTTTCTCCGGGGATAGGGTCACTTGTAGCTTTAGGCGGGGGGGGGGGGGGACGGGGGGGACGGGGGCACTTACAATGTCATGAGGAGGCGAACACATGTTGATTATATAATATTATCTGTAAAGATTATTAATTAATTCTAATTTTCGTCAGGGAGGGAAGTGGATATGCTCCGAAAAGATGACGGAAAGAAACCCTGATTATATTTGTTTTAGTATATATAAATGTGTATATGTAAATGTGTATATGTAAATGTGTATATGTAAATGTGTATATGTAAATGTGTATATGTAAATGTGTATATGTAAATGTGTATATGTGAATGTGTATATTTACGTGTATGTTTCCATAACAAAAGTTTAGACCCCAATCCACTGACACGTCAGTCAGTGTGGAGCCTGGTGTTTGGATCAGCTGTGACGTGGATGGGGGTGTACGGCTTTAATCAGGCCAGTGTCCAGCGCTTCTCCAGTCTCCCTACATTACACAAGGCTAAGACGTGAGTCTTCTTCATTTGACACAGGTTCTAGACCAGACGTTCTTGAACTGATCGAAGTGATTATAGGGAGGATATATATATATATATATATATATATATATATATATATATATATATATATATATATATATATATATATATATATATATATATATATATATATATATATATATATATATATATATATATATATATATATATTTGAATATATATATTAAGTACAAAAGTTGGGGGGTCGTCGACAAATGTTTAGTTTGTTTATATATGAATACCTACTAGTATTATATTACGTAAAGTTCTTGTGATTTTAGGTCCGTACTGCTCAATGTCCTCGGGAGTTTAATCATGGGCACGCTGAGCTGCCTGTCTGGTATTGTGGTATTCGCCTACTACTCGGAACAAAACTGTGACCCACTTGGTCAGGAACTGGTGCACAACTCCAACCAGGTGGGTTATTGTGGGGGGGGGGGGGGAGGCGACGGCGTGACTATTTTAATAAATAATTCAAATATGTTCAAATTGACATTAACTTTGATGTTTACAGATTTAATTTATATTTTCTCTATTCTCACTATTTTATATCTTGTTCATCTTGATCTCACTTAAAGTTTTCTTTTAAATCCCAAGCTAGTTCCCTATTTTGTGATGGAGACTTTGGGATACCCTGGAGTTCCTGGACTATTTATAGCTTGTTTGTTCTCTGGAGCTTTAAGGTGACTTCACATCCGCGTCTAGGTTTTAGAAACGAGTGTTTCTAAGCTAAGCTAAATGTTTTAGTTCTATAACCACTGCTTTAGCTCTATGGCCAATATTTTATTTTTATGGCCCATGTTTTAGTTTTATGGCCAATGTTTTAGTTCTATGGCCAACGTTTTAGTTCTATGGCCAATGTTTTAGCTCTATGGCCAATATTTTATTTTTATGGCCAATGTTTTAGTTCTATGGCCAATGTTTTAGTTCTATGGCCAATGTTTTAGTTGTATGGCCAATGTTTTAGTTCTATGGCCAATGTTTTAGTTGTATGGCCAATGTTTTAGTTCTATGGCCAATGTTTTAGTTGTATAGCCAATGTTTTAGTTTATGGCCAATGTTTTAGCTCTATGGCCAACGTTTTAGCTCTATGGCCAATGTTTTAGTTCTATGGCCAACGTTTTAGTTCTATGGCCAATGTTTTAGCTCTATGGCCAACGTTTTAGTTCTATGGCCAATGTTTTAGTTCTATGGCCAATGTTTTAGCTCTATGGCCTATGTTTTAGTTCTATGGCCAATGTTTTAGTTCTATGGCCAATGTTTTAGTTCTATGGCCAATGTTATAGCTCTATGGCCAATGTCTAAGCTCTGTCTCGACTTTGTTTAGCTCCGTGTCGTCTTCACTGAATGCACTTGGAGCCATCACTTGGGAAGATGTGCTGAAGCCCAGATACGATCACAGGTTGACGGAGTATCAGAAAACTTTAGTCACCAAAGCTACAGGTATTTTTATACAGAGTATCAGAAGACTTTAGTCACCAAAGCTACAGGTATTTTTATACAGAGTATCAGACGACTTTGGTCACCAAAGCTACAGGTATTTTTATACAGAGTATCAGAAGACTTTAGTCACCAAAGCTACAGGTATTTTTATACAGAGTATCAGAAGACTTTAGTCACCAAAGCTACAGGTATTTTTATACAGAGTATCAGAAGACTTTAGTCACCAAAGCTACAGGTATTTTTATACGGAGTATCAGAAGACTTTGGTCACCAAAGCTACAGGTATTTTTATACAGAGTATCAGAAGACTTTAGTCACCAAAGCTACAGGTATTTTTATACAGAGTATCAGAAGACTTTGGTCACCAAATCTATAGGTATTTTTATACAGAGTATCAGAAGACTTTAGTCACCAAAGCTACAGGTATTTTTATACAGAGTATCAGAAGACTTTGGTCACCAAAGCTACAGGTATTTTTATACAGAGTATCAGAAGACTTTAGTCACCAAAGCTACAGGTATTTTTATACAGAGTATCAGAAGACTCTGGTCACCAAAGCTACAGGTATTTTTATACAGAGTATCAGAAGACTTTAGTCACCAAAGCTACAGGTGTGAATGATGAAAGTAAAAAATTACCTTACTAAATAGTGTTCTGGGCGGTGTGGACAAACTTGATCCCCAATCACTGAGAAGCAGCAACTGTAGCGCTGGCTTTGTTTAAAATAAAATAATTCAGTTTTAGAATTCTAAAAATATATATACGATTGGTGACGTATTGATGAAATCCTCGAAAAATGTTGCGTCAGCCTTTTCTATGAGACCGCAGCGACGCGCGATTCTACGCATGTATATATATATATATATATATATATATATATATATATATATATATATATATATATATATATATATATATATATATATATATATATATATATATATATATATATATATATATATATTTATTTATATATATATATATCTTGGATACTAGTCGCTTTCTACGGAATCCTGGCCATTGGCGTTGGTTTGATGGCAGCAAATCTTGAAGGAACTATTGTACAGGTAAGTTTTGCATTTAGTCTAGACAAAAATCCTACGTTTCCCCAGGAGTATAGTACAATCTTAGATGTATCTTTAAGTGCCGATTTATTTAGTATTACGTTAATTCTAAATATTTGCTGAGCTGATGTTTCTAATGTCTGGTGTGTGTGGTTGTGATGTTTCTAATGTCTGGTGTGTGTGGTTGTGATGTTTCTAATGTCTGGTGTGTGTGGTGGTGATGTTTCTAATGTCTGGTGTGTGTGGTGGTGATGTTTCTAATGTCTGGTGTGTGTAGTGGTGATGTTTCTAATGTCTGGTGTAAAGACAATTCAAGACATTTTCTGTCTACCGCCAGGTGACGCTGTCACTGACAGGTGCTGTGGACGGGCCGCTGCTAGGACTGTTTGTACTGGGTGCTTTCTTCCCCTGCTCCAACAGTTACGTAAGTTTGGCTTAGCACCGCTTTACGTTTCGGGTCGGTTTTAGTTTGGTTATTTTAATCGGTTTTAATTTGGTTATTTTGAGCGGTTTTAATTTGGTTCTTTTGATTGGTTTTACACCGCATTACGTTTGGTTAAGTGCTTAATTAAGATGGGTTGCATGCCGTAATGTTAAAGATCTTGTAAAACACACATTAAGCAACCTACAACATCAATATACCTCCAACACACAGTCATTCAACATACAACATTAATGAAGTAGCCATAATTAAATCTATAAAATCGCGTGATCTTTAAAGTTGCATTAATTATGAAGTTGTGAACAATAAATTATGAATACGTGTGCTGCGTAGCATGTAATAATTAATTATGAAGCTGTATGTTTGTATCATTTGTATGTAACTATCAATGTAAAAATTATTTCTTGCACCCCACAGGGCGCCATATCAGGAGCTCTAGTTGCTGTAGCACTGAGTATGTGGGTGTCCATTGGCTCCTATGTCTACGGCTTACATTTACCTTCTAAACCATTTCCTAATGGGACGTGTATGGCATATGTCAATGTGTCCGCCATGTCACCTGTTATAGACATGACATCTATGGGAGCCATGTCAACTACAACAATGTTAGGTTTGGATGACACGTTTGCTGAAGAAAGGTAAAGAAAAGATTTTTTAGTTTTTAGGTTGTAGGATTTGACACTCGCGACAACACGACGTAGTAATAAAGTGCGCCACAGCGGTTTGACACGTATCAGCAGTGTTTCTTCCAGACTTTTTTCTACGGCGTAGGGTGGGGGGCGGACTCTGTTAAAAGTATATGTTTTCTATGCTTCCCTCCCCCGAAAAGATGCCTGAAAGAAACTATGCGCATCAGTGTCGTGGTATTTCTATATCCTGGAACCCTTGACGTCACGAATCAATGTCAACTTCACCCCTACAGACGCGAGTTGATCGTGTACATACAGAGCCTACGTGCTGTGACGAACAAGTTTTTATTTCCATATCGTGGCCCAGTAGTCGCCTTGTTAAAGTAAATAAAGTCGTTATGGTACGTCGTGTCGTTTCTTTCTTATGGTACGTATTGTCGTTTCTTTCTTAAGGTACGTATGTCGTTTCTTTCTTATGGTACGTATGTCGTTTCTTTCTTATGGTACGTATTGTCGTTTCTTTCTTATGGTACGTCGTGTCGTTTCTTTCTTATGGTACGTCGTGTCGTTTCTTTCTTATGGTACGTCGTGTCGTTTCTGTATGACTAGCAATGTCACGTTGAGTATATCTAGTCTAGCAGCGGCTAAACAAAGACAACACTTCGTAAATCTGCACGGAGATGGAAAATACAAGAACACAAAGCTCACTGAATTCAAGGTCAGAGTTTCTTCCAGGCATCTCTTCGGGGGCGCCCTCGAAATAAGTCTACCGCCCCCCCTCCCCCCGAACGAAATTAAATTTATATAGAAAATATATAATTTTAACAGTGGCCGCCCCATCCCCGAAGAAATGTTACCCCTTCCTCCCCCCCCCCCCCCCCCCAAAAAAAATTTAGTGTCCTTCGGAGAAAAAAGTTTGGAAGAAACACTGTTCAAGGTGAAGTCCAGCATTTCTGAATAGGCATCTGAAAGACAATCGTATAATTTTATTGCTTATATCAAAATTTGGTATCATAAACGTTTAACTGATGCACAATTTATTTTTATTGTTTGTTCCTACAGGGAGGGGATTGAGATTATCTACGGCTTATCTTACCTGTGGTTCTGTACTCTCGGCATGCTCTGTGTGCTAGTGGTTGGACTCCCCATTAGTTTTATCACAGGTAAACATTAGTACAATGTTTTTTAACAACAGAAGTTATATTTTTTCAATAAATAATCATTTCTTTAGTTTATATGTATATATTATTATTATTATAGTGATAATGTATTAAGTTTTATGAACATTTTTAAAGACATTTGTTGTGTGTGAATTACTGTCGCGTAAAAAATTTGATTTATTTGCCTTCTGAGATATTTATATAAAATATAGATTGCTGATGTTTTTAAAGTATGTTAAAAGAGATAAAACTTATATTTGGTTCAAACTTCAAACTAGTGAATGGTTGAACTTTGTTGTTGTTTTTTTTTAAAATTGTAACCTTCCTGCAATTCTCTGAAACGTTGTAGAATCTAAACGTGAAAGTAGATTCTAACAACTAAACCAGGGGAAGTAAATTTTGTTGTTTTTCCCCCAGGATCCAAGTCAGCAAGTGTTATCCCGGCTGAATATCAGATACATTTGTTTACACGGAACAAGGTTTACATTTTTCTTTAAATCTACAGTCTCCGCATAATAGGCCTAACAATTGTCATTTTTTTTCTCAAAATCAATATGCAAATATTACACATGTGGCTAGAATATTTTTAAATAACTAATCGTAGAATAATTATTTTAAAACATTTAAAATATTTTTTCTAATAGCTATGCCGATGGATTCTTTGTATATTAATAACAAATCTAACTAATTTAAAAAAAAATAAAACAATAATAATAAACGCTATAAGGTAATGGCACTGCTTTATGAAGGCCACTATGGTATTGAATGTAAGGGTTTTTAAGTTAGTAATTAGGTGATACGTTTATTATTGGCGACGTCTACATCAGATGGTCGCTACAATTTTTTTCATGTCTGGACATCATTAACTGATGACCTCATTAAATGATGACCTCATTAACTGATGACCTCATTAAATGTTGAACCTCATTAACTGATGACCTCATTAAATGTTGAACCCCCCCCCCCCCCCATCAACTGATGACCCTAGATGTGAACCACCAGTTTTTTTATTTGTTTGCTAGCCGTGTAAGAACGTGTCCCTACCATTAACTGATGTCCCCTAGATGTGAACCCCACATTTTGTGTTTGTTTGCTAGCCGTGTAAGAACGTGTCCCTACCAGACGAGAATGTTGAACAGATGTTGGTACCAGCTTCACCTGAGGATCTACATCCAGGTGTGTCTGTTGTGTTGGTGGTGTGCTGTTATGGTGTGTGGTTGTGGTTGTGTTGTGGTAGTGTTGGTGGTGTGTTGTTTTGTGGTTGTGTGTGGTTGTGTTGTGGTTATGATGTGGTTGTGTGTGTGTGGTTGTGTTGTGATTGTGTTGTGGTTGTGTGTTTGGTCGTCTTGTGGTGGGTGGTGGGGGAGTGGGTTTTTTTATCTAACAACGTGTCTTTAAACTAATTCGTCACATAAAGCGGATTCTTTATAATGCACTTTTGGTATGTTACAGCGACTTTGGTTTATGATTATCTTTTATGTTCACTGAACTATAATGTGTGATTGTTTTGTTTAACTTTGCTGTTGTTGATTTTCAGAAAATGATACAGCGACACCGCTGGTTGGTTTTTACGGCGATAGGACGATGAAGAGGCCTTGAGAGTAAATATATATATGTTACTAAATCTAATACAAATGGAATAAAATGTTGTAGAAAACAATTTAATTTTGTTATTATCTCTTTGTAAAAGAAAGCTTCAAGGGATAAATCTAACACACAACATACACTGTATTGACTCAGTGGCGTCACAAGGTCGGGTGTCACCCAATGCAGACGGTACCCCCCCCCCTCCTACCTTTTGACGCCATTGTGTTGACCATTGCCTGTCGGCCTAGGGCGTCCTCCATGACATTTCAGAATTCAAATACTGTTGTTACCTTGAGATACTAGTTTAATTTCACATTGCTCGTAAATCAAATTACTACGTTGAAATTAAATGAAATGCCATTAATCCTTTTCTGACCCCAAAATACCACCCAAGTTTTTTTTTTAAATAAGTAAATTATTTGTAAGTTATAAGAATTGTTTTATTGCATAGTTAAGGATAAAGCAAGGAAATATACTGGTTTTTATACAGTGTATTTAACTTGAAAATAAACTTGAGCTGACGGAAGATGTTGGTAGAGGTATAAATAATAAAGTTAGTGAAGCTACACTCCTTTCACTTACTCTCCGCGAAGGGGGGGGGGGAGGCGGGGGAGGAGGCGCTATTATCCCCCCCCCCCGAAGAGATGCCTGGAAGAAACTCTGCTTTAGATCACTAACTTATTACACTCTTCAGTAACAACATTACATTTTATCGCTAAACTAACGGAACTTCGCCGAACACAAGTGAACTTAAATATTACTAAGTAATGTTTTGTTACTTTCGCTTAATTTTCGTCACCGCTTTTGTCTTCGATGGTCTTTGCTTTATTTGAACAGGCTGTTAAAATAACCTGTCCGATAGGTTTTTTTTCCTCCCTTTCATAAAGGTTCGTAAACGAGTTAGGTAACTGTCATTAAATAACTCCGATGCACAATCGGTTGCAATTTTTTTCGGGGTTTTCCAGAAACCGTTAAAACCGTTACTCCGGTTACTCGTCTGTTAAATTCATCTCGTATGTCAAAGCTAAATGTTGCTCGCCTAGCAGCTCGTATCTAACAAATCGTGGGGGTTGGGGGAGGGGGAGGGGCATTCGTATGTCGAGGTACTGCAGCACTGTTATATTAAGTCAGCTGTGAGTTGATACTGACGACAGAGTTAAATTTTAAATCAGATGAAAACAAATGATGTCATTTATTGCTTGTTGGGATTTTAAAAAGTTTTTTTTTCATATACTATTTAATTTGAAACTTAATTAACATGTAAACATAATAGCAAATTAAATATTTTATCACATGAGATTATCTCCTTGACACCAGATCAATAAAACTTGTAGAGTTTTTGTGTTTGTGATACATAAAGGTGCATAATTATATTTTTAAATCTGAAGAAATTATTTTAAGAGTGTACTCCCTTTGTTATAAACTTTTTACCACTGTTAGCCATTATAATAATATAAGCAATTGACGAAATCACACTTTTGCACATTCTGTGACCAGAGCACACATCTGTGATTATGTGACCAGAGCACACATATCTGGCTAGAGCACACATATGTGACGCAAAAAGGAAAATTATGTATGTTACGTTCCAATGCCATAGTGCGGCTACTTGTTGCGTATTTCGTGCATTGGCCGGCCAATGCGCGCACTAACCGGGATGTCATGAACAATGTCCAATACAGGCTACGGTGTGATGGCGTTTTAATTATTCTGGCTGTAGTTTTATTGTGCTTAGTATATTGCGTTGCACGTGCCTGTATAACATGCTATTGGCAATGCGACATAGACAATAATCTTTATAGTTTCCAAAAAAAATAAGAAAATGTTTACCAACATTGCAGCATAGACAAAACATCGTGGACACATTATATAACACGAAAATATTTAATCTTTAACCCAACCACGAACGCATAAACAGTAAACAGTATATTTAAATAGCTGTCACGCCCATCGGTATATTCCAACCCACACTACCTCCCACCCTCACCAAATTTCGATTAAAAATGTCCTTAAATGTGCATGAGTGTGTATGAGTGTATGCGGCTTTGAGTGTGGGTACGTATGTGTGTTTGAGTGTGTGTACGTATGTGTGTATGAGTTTGTATGTATGAGTGTGTGTGTGTGTGTGTGTATGAGTATGTGAATGAGTGTGTGTTGTGGGGTATATATGGACAAGGCTCGAATGTTTTTTTTTCGAATTGTACTCAAGCATGCTAGGCGAGCATGGTGCAAGTATGTAGAGCCAACATTTGATGTGACAACTATGTTCTTGGATCTTTTGAACACAGTACTGCATGGAAAGCCAAACAATAGCGTTATTCTCATCAGAGGCAAGTAATGTACTTTTATAGACGTCCAACGGGTTAAAGTAAAGCAGACAAAATAAACTGTTGACTCTCGTCGACTTAGAAATATGATGTTATTGAAGTTGACGACAAAGAAAACCGTTTGCAGACAATAGTGTTAGGTGAGATCGTGGTGATCCCAGAACGTCCTTGCAGTTGTCTTGAACGTCGAGGCCGCTGTCTACAAGGTAAGAACGGAACATGGTTTTCTAAACATCTGTATTCCAGAAATGAGTTTTCCTTTCTGCTTACATTTGCGCCTATGGGCACCGAGAAATAAATCTTTACAAAAAAATTGCTACTTCACAATCTAATCGCTGCAAGTGTAAAAACAAGCTACTGCAACAATAAAATAATTTGAATAATTGTCATTTACTTAAATTGACAATTAATAAAGACTTATTAATCCTTACGGATTCTCACATTCAAAATCTGCTCATTATCTTCTAATTCAGACTTTGGCCGGTCACCCCTAGCTAGTTCGCAGACTGACCGGCCAATGTAGGAAATCGAGAAAATTTTCGGACTTTTGCCGGTCAATATACACATCTAAAAGTTTTGGAACATTTATTTATAGTCGGTAGCATAGAGTGGTACAACTTAAAGCTTCGCGTGTCATCCGACTCTGCCCCACAAACTCCTCATTTGTTCTGCGATAAAATATAATAAAAATTGATTGTAGGATTTGACGACTAGTCAACACAAAGATAAACTGGTTACGTGAATTTTTAAAAGTTTCTTTCAGGGTTAAAGGGGGGATAGGAAACATATCCTCCCACACTCCCCCTACCCACCCCCACCCCCCCCCCCCCCCCCAACCCCGGAAGGAATAGGAAATAAAACACGTGATATAGACAATATTTTTAATACATTTTTAATTATTTAAACGTTTTAAAATAGAATAGAATCTCGTAGAAAAAAGAACTGCACACCAATTGAAACTATATCAAAAGGGATGAAATAACAATAAAGACACACCTTCGCTTTGATAGCAGAGACATGCCTTAAAGGAAAGACATCCGCCCTCCGTGGACAAAACAACTAACATCTAAAGTCAATAGAATGCGTCGATCAAACCTTAGCGATCCTAAGACAAATGCTTATTTAAACAAACAGCGGTCATCGCGGAGCCAAGTTGGTCGTAGTGTGCATGCAAGCAACGCATTATTTAGTGTGCATGCAAGCAAGGCATTATTTAGTGTGCATGCAAGCAAGGCATTATTGGTGTTGCTTACCATGCTATGGCCTCTTTCGTTACACCTCAAAAAAGGTTATAAGAAATTAGTTTCTAGTGGATTTATGTCGAGTAAGAGTTCAAACGATAGATGATCACATAGTATTGTAGACGTGTGATCATAACGTACACCTGCCAGCAAAGAAACGTAAGGGTTATATTTGCGTTGATAATGCAATAAAAACAATGGTTTAACGTTACAAACCTGGTGACCCAGTCACATTTTTGAAGAAAAATAATTCGAGTGTTTTGAACATTAGTGTTGTGTAACTACCTTTACTTTATTTGTTTGATACATTATCATTTATTATAACACTCAAACAAAAGGAGTAAGTTTGTTTTAATTTTTATGTTTCCAAATAAAATGCTATAACAAAGGTTAAGTTTAATAAATCTTTGGATGTTTTGTTAAATTTGACAAATTCATTTTACTCACAATTATTATGTGTAAAAAGTAAACAAAAGCATATGACAGCCAATAAAAAATGTTCAAATAAACTAAAGTTATCGTATTTACCAGGGATCGGCAACCTTTGGCTCGCTAGCCGCATGCGGCTCTGTTGATATCAAGATGAGGCTCGCCAGCTCCTTGCACAAATACTAATAATCTAAATTTAAAAAAATATTTTAAATAAAAAAATGTTAGTGGCTCTTTAAAACCAGGGAAATTTTGAAAATTGTAACTTTTGTTCTCTTGCTTCAAAAGGTTGCCGACCCCTGGTATATACTGTTAAAGTTTTGCTGTGAGATATTTCGTCTGGGATCATTTGTCCATGGTATCATTTGTCCTGATATATTTTGTCCTGGTATCTTTTGTCCGTGTGACATATATATATATATATATATATATATATATATATATATATATATATATATATATATATATATATATATATGCTGCGGGCTCAAAAGAGCATGACCTTTAAGAGGATTTCCTCAATTTGTTACAAATCGTGTATTTGTAACCGCATGACCTTGCTTTCTAAAACTGAGTTATTTAAATGTAACAAAGCTGGATCATTGATGCTGTTGTGCGTGTTTGTACACACTACGACCCAAATACACCTATGGGTGCTGCATGATAGCCCTGGGTCAGGGGTCGGCAACCTTTTGAAGCGGAAGAGCCAAAAGTTACAATTTTCAAAATTTCCCTGGTTTCAAAGAGCCACTAACATTTTTTTTATTTAAAATATTTCATTTTTTTATTAAGATTATTAGTATTTGTGCAAGGAGCTGGAGAGCCGCATCTTGATATCAAAAGAGCCGCATGCGGCTCGCGAGCCGCAGGTTGCCGATCCCTGTCCTAGGTGTACGTTAAACACAAATCCACTAGAGTGCGACGGCCCAGTTGTTATGGGCAATCGGGGGGCCCCATCCGCAGCCATCGGTTACACTACCGCAAGGGCACCGAATATGGCCACTGGTTCGGTTTACTCATCGAATGTAGTGAGTCACCGTGTCGATATTAAAGCGTTTTCTTTAAAACGGATGAAAGATTACAGTAGCCCATCATCTATACTGCATCGCACACTCTAAAACGAAAGAAGGTGCCATAGTGCTCATGTAGAAAATAACGTAGTGTTCCTTCCAGCCACATCCACAAACATTCATTTGTATACATAGAGATTAGAATGTCTCACTAAGTTTTTAATTAAATTATTTCATAATATAATAATTTACATTTCATTGCAAGTAGGCATATACCTTATTGTAATAATAATGAGAATTTTTTTTTAAATCAGCTTAGTACAAATATAATGTTAAAATAGCTATCAAAACAATTATGTTGGCAGGCTGAATATAGAATTTCAAAAGCGTTTTTTTCTTCTCCCAACACGTTTTCTTCGTAGACTTCGTAGTGCTCAAAGTTGAACAGGTTGTTCAGTTATAAAGCGGAGACCTCAAATCTTATACAAAAAACTTGTTTAAAAAATGTCCGAATCCCCCTTGATAATTATTTAAATGAGTTTTATCAGCCTCCATTTGACTACTTGAGCTATTGTTATTGGACAATTTAAAGAAGTGGTAATGTACCCCCCCCCCCATTTTTTTTCAACTATTTAAATGTGTTTTGAGTTCTCTATTCAAGTTCTTGATGGCGTGTTATGGGCCTTCTATTAGACTATTTTACAAGAATATGGACCCCTAATTTGAATAACGTAGCTTTCAGAGCTCCCTATTAATCTATTTAAATATAGTCATGGGTCCTTCAGGTCATTTCTGTTATTTAAATGAGCGTTTTGTCCCCCCCCCCCTATTTATGATGAGTTATCCCCCCACTTATTCTTCTTTTTAAGTGAGTGTTATGTGTCCCCTATTCGACTATTTAAAAGAGCTTTACGTCTCCCCCCTCCCAAAGACTATTTAAAGAAGAGCAAAAAGTCATCGAGTCGCTTTGAACCTTTGCCTCACGAGAACGTATGTAATGTTGTTTTTTTTTACATTTTTCTATGCAACATTAAGGCTTAGTGAATGTAGAACAATCACCCATGTGGTACGTCTATTTGTTTTTACAAAACTACTCTCATTAAGGAAAACGAAATTATTTATTTAGGAATTTTACAATGGCATTGTTTTTATTTTAGTCGGATATTTGCAACTCTTTATATGCAACATATCGATTACACTAAGTCTCGCTTCACTAATATAATAGGTTACTATTTTAATAAAATATTAAATATATTTTAATTAACCATAACTTTGTTTTACATTAAGCAAGTACCCCCCTTCCCAAACACACACACACACACCTCCAACTTTCTTGTGTCAAATGTAAATGGATTTACACCTAACGTTTCATTAAAAAAAAATACAACCCCCCCCCCCCACCACCCCCCCCCCCAGTTACGTATGAGTGCATGGTGACATTTCCTTCTATAATCCCCATCATACAGTTGTTTCATTTACATATCAAGCCACAGCTGTGGTCTAGGGTTCTCTGACCGGCTGCAACTGTCACAGCTGTGGTCTAGTGTTCTCTGACCGGCTGCAACTGTCACAGCTGTGGTCTAGGACTCTCTGACCGGCTGCAACTGTCACAGCTGTGGTCTAGGACTCTCTGACCGGCTGCAACTGTCACAGCTGTGGTCTAGGACTCTCTGACCGGCTGCAACTGTCACAGCTGTGGTCTAGGACTCTCTGACCGGCTGCAACTGTCACAGCTGTGGTCTAGGACTCTCTGACCGGCTGCAACTGTCACAGCTGTGGTCTAGGACTCTCTGACCGGCTGCAACTGTCACAGCTGTGGTCTAGGACTCTCTGACCGGCTGCAACTGTCACAGCTGTGGTCTAGGACTCTCTGACCGGCTGCAACTGTCACAGCTGTGGTCTAGGACTCTCTGACCGGCTGCAACTGTCACAGCTGTGGTCTAGGACTCTCTGACCGGCTGCAACTGTCACAGCTGTGGTCTAGGACTCTCTGACCGGCTGCAACTGTCAACACTTTTTGTTTCCTGCTCACAGCACAATTTGATTTAGGCCACCATATAGCCATAATGGAATCATTACGCATTTTTAGAAAGGATAGGTTCATTACCTTAATTTATATAGTCAGATATGTGGCCAGTAACACCATGATCCATGCACAACCCCACATCCCATACGCGAAATATTCTGGTCAGACGGTACACTACAACCCCATACATGCACCACACTAAACACGAAGTAGAACAGAGAAGAAATAAACAGGAGCGAATACAAAGGATTAGAACTGAATGGAGTAAATTAGAGCAGAGTGTAGAGTGGAGTAGAGCTGAGTGGAGATGTAGTCACCTGTCTAAATCGTTTAAGCTGGTAGTATTCGGCTACTGAAGGCGCGACTTACAACTGACATCACGCTCGTAATTAGTGGGACGTATTTTCATTAAATGTGTTAATAGTTATCATTGTTTTTTGTTTTTTTCGTTACTTGCTGAGCTTAGGGTCTCTGTCAAAGCTTTCCACTCCCCATGGTCTCCTGACACTCAGCTGTTCCCAATTCCTTCCTATCATTTCAGCCTCCTCCAGCACGCTATGTAGTCTTGTCTTCTTGGGTCGACCTCTGCGTCGCTTGCATGGGGGGGGGGGTCCCTCTTCAAGCCGTGTCTAACTCTATTGCTAGCGTCCTTCCTAAGTGTGTACCCAATCCATCGCAATTTGAATTAAGGATTCTTATTAAGGACTCGTATTAAAGATTTGTATTAATGATTAGTATTAAAAATTCGTATTAAGGATTTGTATTAAAGATTTGTGTTAAGGATTTGTATTAAAGATTCGTATATCTGTATGAACTCTACAAACTACTATATCTATGTTTATGTTTTTCATATTTATTTAACCTTAAATAAAATTTAACCATCTCATTTAAAATAACAGCAAAATCAGAAGAAAAAAAATAATGCGTCTTGCTTTATAGTATAAAACATTGTACAAACTTTGCAACAAAAAAAGAAAATTGCATAAAAAATGTTTTAATTACCAGTTTTTATGTAATAATGTACTAAAAAGGAGAAGATATATTATTTTCTTTAAATATATAATAATACACTACTATTTAAATTACTATAAAAAAATTAAATAAGCATCCAATTGTCAAATTTAAATGTCATATTGCATTTTCTTTAAGGCTTGACCTACGTGCCAACTTTGAAACTAATCTGTCAACTAGAAGTGATCGAAATCTCTCTCGTCATTTCGATCTATGAGGAAGCAAGTTAAATAAAAGCTTGCATAAATGGAAATTAAATATTAACTTTGGGAATTAAATATTAACTTAAATACCAAAGTTAGCATTACAGTAATTTTCCTACCCAAAAAAATCACATTTTAATTGATGTATTATGTTCACCCTACTAATACAAAACTATATTAAGTATTTTCTACCCGTCTAAACAAACAAACTTTGACACCGAGCAGTATAATATATTTTTTAAGTACGCGATTTAAAAAAAATATATTTTCTTTGTATCCTTTTCTCTATTTATGCGAAGAAATGAAACCTATGGTGACATACGAAAAAATGTCAAGCAGCAATCCTGTAGCAGTTGTAAGACGATGAACCCATACAGCTTATTGAAACAGCATTTTTTATTCAATATTTTAATGTGCTGTCTACAGAGTATTGGTAAAAGTAATAAGCTTGAAAAATTTACGTAATCACTAGCCATGGGTGCTCGTTTCACGGGAATTATAGGCCAATATATTTTTGTTGTTATACTTATATGGAAAAAAATAATTTATAAAATAGTTATTGAAAAGCCATTTAGAAATGTTTCATCAATTCAAATATATATTTTTTTTTAAAAAACCGCCCTCAACCCCTCTTGATTAAACCGGAATGACAAGGGAAAGTAAAATAATGAAAGTCACAACAATTGTTTTCCATGATAAAATACACAATATCGACCATTGGTGTATAACCTAGTAATTTATTTATATTAAATAATATAACATCCCCTATCACCACCACATCCTGATTTTTCTAATCCAGATTAAAAATAAAAGTGTTAGTTAAATTATTATTATATTACTAGTAGTTATTTGTTTGAATATTTCTAGGTTTAATAAAAACTGATGTTATTTTGTACTTATACCTCAAATGAAATAAAATATTGAATTTTGCTTGAAAAATATACTTTCTGGAAGCGACCATTTTGAACCAGCTTTTCAAGCTTATTGTACAACATGGATAAGATCTGTTGATGGGTGACTATAACTATGATCTCTATGAGAAAAAGACCACTTTCTCCAGCAAAGATGAAGACAAAGTTACTCTACCAACAACTGACGGACGAACATAAGGTCACATCCAGGGCACAGGCTGTCGCAGCTGATATTATAGATATGTCTATTGATATGCCATTGTACGTCATTTATCATGTAAATATTTATCAAACAATTATCAAATGTTTTAATGTGATTGTATCTGCCGAAGTTACATAACGCATTATTTGAGAGCGTTGTCTAATGTAGAATTTGTATATCCTTCATCTGAAGTTCAATCAAAATGGTTGTGGTGAAGAACTCCTTCGGCCCTGTCGACTATGTTGTCTTTGCCGCCATGTTGATCATATCAATGGCTATAGGAGTTTGGTTCGCTCTCAGGGGAGGCAAACAGAAAACACAAGGTTAGGGGAGATAAATATAGAATTCAATGTTAAGGGAGACAAATATAGAATAAATGAGAGGCACCAAAATAGAAATTAAGTAAGGGGAAAAACAGAGGGGAAAAACACTGTACTTTTTTATGTGTGTGTGTGTGTGTGTGCGTGTGTGTATATGAAAAAATAGAGCATCGTAATCGTGCAGATAATAAAAATCGACATTTTTTTTTTACAAACCTCCACGTTTTACACCTTCCAGAGTGTAGTTTTTAGTTTTGCGATTTTGCCTCAGTCTGTCTGTCTGTCTGTCTGTCTGTCTGTCTGTCTGTCTGTCTGTCTGTCTGTCTGTCTGTCTGTCTGTCTGTCTGTCTGTCTGTCTGTCTGTCTGTCTGTCTGTCTGTCTGTCTGTCTGTCTGTCTGTCTGTCTGTCTGTCTGTCTGTCTGTCTGTCTGTCTGTCTGTCTGTCTGTCTGTCTGTCTGTCTGTCTGTCTGTCTGTCTGTCTGTCTGTCTGTCTGTCTGTCTGTCTGTCTGTCTGTCTGTCTGTCTGTCTGTCTGTTTGTATGTCTGTATGTCTGTATGTCTGTATGTCTGTATGTCTGTACGTCTGTATGTCTGTATGTCTGTCTATTTGTTTGGCCATTTGTCTGGCCATTTGTCTGGCTATTTATTTGTATGTCTGTCTGTCTGCTTATCTGCTTGCCTACTTACCTGTCTGCTGACTTATCTGTCTGTCACGGGCTTATTATATGTATTATTTAGTTTAATTAATAAAGAGTCAGTTTTAATTCAACGATCTTGGCAAATTTAATAGCAAGTAATGCATATATATGTAACTAGTGTAGTTACTAAAGACGATTGATAAGAACGCAATACAGTCTGTCAACTAAGACATGACCAAGGCCAAACTGAACTGATGCAACGGATGCAGGTGGTGTGACAGAAATAAAAACTTAAGTCTAATAATAACGAATACAAGGACTGCGTAGTTGGGAGGCGATATAATCGGACTGTACGACAGAAGTGCGGAGTTCATAGCTATGATGCAACGGATAGCACCGATTACGAATACAAGGCGACTGCGTGGTTGGGAGGCGATATAATAGGACGGCACGACGAGAAGTGGGAGAACAGAAGTTGAAGCCTGAACTGTAGATACGTGTTTAATTTGTGAGAATAAGATTGGAAGCCTGAACCATGGACACGTGTATTCTGATGTGTGAGAACTAGTGAGGACAGTGGGGGTCAGTTGGTTCATTGTATTCTTGTGGAACATTGATGCATTGCTATGTGGAACGTTTCTATTGATTCAATTAATAAAGAGATAAATGTAAACCTGCACTTCAGAGTATCTGTATTGTGATTAATGTTGTGTGCCGGTCAAAGATAGCATAAGTAAATACACTCTATAGCATTTGGCGTTGCGAGTAAATACACTCGGTAACATATATATATATATATATATATATATATATATATATATATATATATATATATATATATACATACATATATATATATATATATACATATATATATTTATATATATATACATATATATATATATATATATATATATATATATATATATATATATATATATATATATATATATATATATATATATATATATATATATATATATATATATATATATATATATATATATAAGTGGACAAAGAGAAATGAGAAATTCAGCTTAAACTCCTGTCTGTTGCACACTTTACTAGACATAGCGGTGGGGTTACACCAAACTGTAGTTTAAGTATTTCATTGATGTCGAGGGTGCAACCCTGGTTTACCGCACCCCACCTAGTGAAGACGCTGGTGTTATAAGATAGTAATGTGTGTTTGTTGTAGATCTGGTGTTATCTGGTACTAATGTGTGTTTGTTGTAGATCTGGTGTTATCTGGTACTAATGTGTGTTTGTTGTAGATCTGGTGTTATCTGGTACTAATGTGTGTTTGTTGTAGATCTCTAATATTGCCTGGTTATTGATACCATTGATTAAAACAGGTGAATACCTAATGGGAAACAGAAACATGCGCATTATACCTGTAACTATTTTCATGTTGGTTTCTCAAATTTGCGCCATTTCGATTGTTGGAATCCCAGCTGAAATGTACTCACAGGTAGGGAAGACGACCAAGGTAACATACTATTTAGGGGCGCTTAAGCTCATAGTATTTAATTGCGTTATTTAATGATAGTCATATATTCACATAATTGTTGATTTCAAATTTTAGAAACTTAATTCAATCAAATGAATTTTGAGATGTATTTGTTTGTATTTCAACCATACTCAGTGCACAGAGTATTATTTGCATACTTTTGGCTGTATGCTCGGCGTCACCATCGCTGCATTTGTGTTTGTACCACTCATCTACCCTCTAAAGCTTACCAGCGTATATGAGGTCAGTGAATATTAAACGCCTTGATTGTTGAGGGGTAAAATATTTATATCGTAGAGGATAATCTACAAGAGCACAGTATATATATATATATATATATATATATATATATATATATATATATATATATATATATATATATATATATATATATACCAAAAAATTTCCTAATTTCCTGTACAGTATTTGGAGAAAAGATTCCACTCCAAAGCTGTCTGTCTGGTTGGAACATTTCTCATGGTACTTTCGCAGGTAAAGTTTTCCATGGTATTTTCCAATGGTAAAGTTTTTCATGTTAAATACCAGGTAAAGTTTCTGATGATGCTTTCCCAGGGTAAATGTTTCATTATACTTTCCCATTTTTCATGTTTCTTGTCAGTTAACTGAAGCATGGTAGAGTAAGTTGAGTAGTTTCACATGTTATGGTAGGAGTTAATAGAAAAACATGGCGGACAGTTCTGATAGCTATAACAAAATCCTGCTTTTCTGTTTGCAAACACGTTTTCTAGTCACTTTTTGTCTCAAATGTGTCCATTGTGTCAGTTATTTAATATGAGAACATCATTATATGATACATGAGAACATTTGGATGGTACATGATAACATGTAGATGGTATAAGAGAACATGTAGATGGTATATGATATCTTGTAGATGGTATATGAGAACATGTGGATGGTATATGAGAACTTGTGAATGTTATATGAGAATATCATGATATATGAGAAACCATTTAAAGGCCGTCATCTATCCTCAGGTGATCTACATGGGCGTGGCATCATTTGCTCCGGCTACAGCTCTAGAAGCAGGTCAGATCTTTGTCTTATTTTCTTTTTCACTGGTCTGGTAAAAAGGGGACAATATTCACGGTCGTTTATTAAAACTTCATTTGTTGTTTAATTTGTTTGACTAGAACTGAATTTCTGAGCTTGTTGCTTGTTTTGTTCTGATGTTGTTGTATAATTAAACTGAACATAAAATAAATGTTGTTGTATAATTACACTGAACATAAAATAAATGTTGTATAATTACACTGAACATAAAATAAGTGTTGTTGTATAATTACACTGAACATAAAATAAATGTTGTATAATTACACTGAACATAAAATAAATGTTGTATAATTACACTGAACATAAAATAAATGTTGTATAATTACACTGAACATAAAATAAGTGTTGTTGTATAATTACACTGAACATAAAATAAATGTTGTATAATTACACTGAACATAAAATAAATGTTGTATAATTACACTGAACATAAAATAAGTGTTGTTGTATAATTACACTGAACATAAAATAAATGTTGTATAATTACACTGAACATAAAATAAATGTTGTATAATTACACTGAACATAAAATAAATGTTGTATAATTACACTGAACATAAAAGAAATGTTTTCAGTGACGGGCTTTCCATCGTGAGCAACCATTGTCAGTATTGGAGCTGTTGCTACTTTATATACAGCAATTGTAAGTCGGGTCGATTCAGATAATTTATTCCGGCTTATTTGATGACTTGTGTACAAATAAATGGGTTACTCGGAGCATTGATCTGCTTTATACAAAGACGTCGCAAAGGTTAATGACCTGAAAGTATGATTTTTTTAACACAGGAAGTAGGTGTTGATTCACCCTCACCGATCTAAACACATAACTTTCTTTAACACATAGAGACGATCATTCTATTCGACAAAAGTGTTCAAAGATCTCAACTATATATATATATATATATATATATATATATATATATATATATATATATATATATATATATATATATATATATATATATATATATATATATATATATATATAATCAAACTGTTTTTATTTAATCTCTTTCGATTTGTTTTTTTTTTTAATTTCAGGGGTACTTCTTACCCAAATATAGATTGGTACGCTTCGTCTTTTTGATTAGCTGCCGATTTGGACTCCACATACATAATAGATTTCTTCTTACTTGACTAAGTGTAGCTAACAAAACATGTTTATTACGTGAAGTAGAATGCTATGAGCAGTATCATGTAACTTATGGATGAAATATGGCTATCATCTGCAGTTCGAAAAACAGTCTAAACGTAAAAAAACACAAAAGCTGACAAACTTCTTTTCTTTTAGGAATAGGGATTTGTTCGTCAGCATACAGATTTCATAACTTTAAATCATGTCAACGTATTCTCGCAATTTTCTATCGATCATATTAATCCCAGTGACGTCTTTACGAACGTCACACGGGTAGGCAGTATCCAACTCTACACATACTAATCGGAATACAATGTTTAGATCAAATTACCAGTTTAAGGAAACAAAGTAGCGTTTACACACAATAATAAACCGGGAGTGATCTCCCCTAAACTATCTCGAATATTCTTATTAAGCACTACGGGGGATGGCAACTCGGGATATAGACATGATTTTTAATCCATATTTAATTACTTAATCTTTTTAAAAATAGAATAGAATCTCGTAGAAAAAAAAAGAATTACACACCAAGTGAACGGCAAACAAAATGTGTATAATAGTTCGGAATATTATTAGTACGTTATAAATTCACATGCGGTTTTTTTTTTAGAAATCGTAAATAGCGTAAATTCCTACTTCCGGTGAACGGAAATTTCTCAAAATTTTACATAAGGCATAGAACTGGATCTTTGACATACATGTGAAATTTCAAGCATCTATCTGAAATACAATCAAGTTATATGCTTTTGAAAAATTTAAAGTAGAATAAGTTCCACTTCTGTTTACCGGAAATCGATGAAAAGAGTATACAGATCTACAAATTTGATATAATACTCACGTATAAAATTTCATCAATCTAGCTGTAACGGTACTTAAGTTATCTTGTTTACAAACAGACACACACACACACATACACAAATATACAGACAAGATTGCAAAACTATGTTTTTCCGCCGCAGGAAGGTGTAAAACGTCGAGATTTGTAAAAATCTCGATTTTTTGTTTTCTTGCACGATTACAATATTTTATCTATAGGCCTAATTCGTACCCGAGAAAGTATAGAAGTATACATACCCAAAAAAAGTATACATGCCCAAAAAAGTATACATGCCCAAAAAAAGTATACATACCCAATAAAAAAGTAGAAAGAGAATACATAATTGATAAAATATTTCATAAATTTGAGTATACAATATCCTTAAAATGTTAATTTATGTTAATTTATCAGGTCACGCTCAGTTCAATAGACCAAAGGGTCTAAGCAGTAAGTTATGTAGATAGTCTGATTGAGAGTCTAATGGAGAGTCTGATGGAGAGTCTGATGAACTTATACATCGGGGGGGGGGGGACTTGATATTTTCGGGGGGGGGGGAGGGGCGGTCAACATTTTCCGGGGGGGGGGCGGACACTGGAAAAAGTATATTATATTTTCTATATAAATTCCATTTTGTTCGGGGGCGGTAGAATTATTCGAGTTACACACTCTGCCCCCCCCCCCCCCCCGGAAGAGTTGCCTGGAAGAAACTCTGGACTTGCTGTGCTATGGCCAACAGTTAAAGAACAGAAAGGGGGTTGGATTTTAGTTTAAGTATTCGAACAACAGGGTTTATATACCAACAAATATAACTCGAAACTTTGAGTAATACGGACATGTTTTAAAATGCGCAGATACTAAACATATTTTCAAATAATTGATCATAGAAAAGCAAGCCATAAAATGCCTAACACGATTTGAAATCCCATGAAAGTAGACTATGACAAACTAATACCAGTGTAATTGTAAACATGCAAGTTTGTCATAATTGCATAACAAGGTCGTAAATTGTCAGAGGTCGTAATTTATGTAACTCTACTTTGTTTTATGTGAACGAGTAGTTAGCCCATCACACAACCCCCAATCCGGAGGACGAGGGCACAACGTTTGGTCTGGCCCCTACCCGCGCAGATCTGTCCGACTTGGTTAGACCTGCCAGGAGCACTAGGCTCCCGCCAAGCGCTTGAGTGGAACCCCCAGGGGAAGCGGTAGACAGACGCCCAAGACAGACCTGGAGGCGGAGTCTTCTTGAAGAACTGAAGCCAACAGGGATGTCTTGGGAGATGACAAAATTAATAGCCAGGGATCGGACGAAATGGAAGCAAATGGTGGAGGCCCTATGTTCCATAAGGAGCAAAGATGAGTAAGTCAATTTGGCGGTAAACTAGAACTATATTTTTAGTTCAAACTCAAAAAAATTAGTTATAGTTAATTAATAGCAACAGGAGTAAAAATCTCAAAATCTGAGGGTTTGGTTGTACGGAAAATTCCATTCATTAAACAACAAATTTAATCAGTTCTGGATTAATTAATTCAACGACCCGTGTGTGGTGTGTGTCAATATTGTTGGTCAGGGAGATTTAGCACGAACCCATAGATACGAGATCAGTTTGTAAAGTTATGTTCCTTTTCTTCTCGGTGAAGTTTGTTCCTTTTCTTCTCGGTGAAGTTGTATTCCATTTCTTCTCGGTGAAGTTGTGTTCTTTTTCTTTTTGGTGAAGTTGTATTCCATTTCTTCTCAGTGAAGTTGTGTTCTTTTTCTTTTTGGTGAAGTTCATTATCTTGTAGGTGGAGTTTTATTGATGCCCTATCAGTAGTGTTTTAGAATATTTATTTTAAATTTAAATAATTGCATTATGAAAATTAGGCAGAAAGCTAATGTTGCTTTATAGATGGCTATCAAAATAGTCGAAACAACTTATTTTGTGAATATTTTAAAATTAGTTGTATATTGTAGTCGGGATATATTTTACTTTTTTTCTTCTTCTTCATTTACAAAAAAAAAATATTACAGCTGAACTAGACCAAAATGGTTGTGGTGAAGAACTCCTTCGGCCCTGTCGGCTATGTTGTCTTTGCCGCCATGTTGATCATATCAATGGCTATAGGAGTTTGGTTCGCTCTCATGGGAGGCAAACAGAGAACACAAGGTAAGGGGAGATAAATATAGAACACAAGGTTAAGGGAGACAGGTATAAAACATTATAAGAACCTTGAGATTGATGCTATTTGTAGATTAACATCACCTTTTTTGAAATTTCTGGAAATCCGACGTTGTACATAAAAAACCCGTCAAGTACCGTTTGTGAGGTGGACCAAATTTGTTATACACGAATTCAATCAAATAATTCAGTACAGGAAGGTGAAACAATAACTAACATCATCAATGCTCACTTAATCGTGTGTGTGAGGCTAAAATATGAGCAAAATTACTTAAAGAAAAGACATTGTTATAACCTATAGAAATTAAACGATGGCAAAATATTTATCGTTTTTTTTTAAAGCAAGTTAGGTATTTGCTGATGCATTTAATGAGTACCTTATCTATTTTTTAAAAAGGAGATTGATTCGATGGCAACTCACATTTATTTGAACATTACAAGGTATTTATAGAGTAAATATTTTATCTTTTACAACCCAGTTGAATATCTGATGGGAAACAGAAGCCTCTCCATACTCCCTGTTGCTATTTCGATCTTGGCCTCATTCATGTCAGCCATCTTGATTCTCGGAACTCCTGCAGAAATGTATACACAGGTTGTGTTTGTTTCTAACATTAGGTTAACGTGTCTGTGTATATTTTCTAGCGCTGCGTGTTTTATTTTATATTATTTTCCCACGTTTTCTTTAACTTGCTTTCTCTGTGTGTTTGTCTTTCCAATCAAATCTTGCGATCGAAATTTCTGGCACTTCCCAGTTAGCTAGCGCGCTGAAATTTTCAGGGAAGCTTTCTTTTGGATGACCATTGAATATTCAATTGTTATTATTACTAAATTGATCAATGGAAACATTTTATTGAGCATTTTAGACCGCTATATAATCTATATATATAATTCTCCTCTGCGAGCCATTAGAAAAAAAAACGAGCGACGCGTACCTCGCGCGCAGTGAAGCGAACGATCCCAAGTCGCCACAGGCTTAGGGGCAGATAATTTCACACAACGTGTTTTTTACGAGTTGTCTTTTTACGAGTTGTCTTTTTACGAGTTGTCTTCGTTTACCCAACAAAAAAGTGAAAAGATAAAATCGATAGCAAGATTTTAATGCAAACAAACAGACAAAGACTAAAAAGTAGAAAATAATAATCATTAAAAAAGTTTTAAAAAACCCACGTTTTCTGATTGAACTAAAAAGTAGAAAATAAATGCTATACATCACAATAATGCAAGCGATCACTCTACTATAAGCGATCAAAAACGTGGGGCGCCGAAGTAAAAGTTATATTACTATTGATTAGATAATACTATTGACTTTTATTAGGGAGCTTGTAGAGAGTCAACAGTATTAGAAACTGTAAGAAAATCACGGCGCCCCACGTTTTTGATCGCTTATAGTAGAGTGATCGCTTGCATTATTGTGATGTATAGCATTTATTTTCTACTTTTTAGTTCAATCAGAAAACGTGGGTTTTTTTAAACTTTTTTAATGATTATTATTTTTTAAAATTATTTTTGTTTAATTTTCCTAAATCTTTTTTTAAATAAACAATGTGTTGTTCACCCAGGGGACAGAATTTTATCTGGCAACTTTTGGTGTCATGCTTGGTGTGGTGTTAGCTGCCCTTCTCTTTGTGCCTCTCTTGTATCCACTACATCTGACCAGTGCTTTTGAGGCAAGTAGAAATAGGCGTGTTAAAATGTCAAGTAGATGTAGCCTAGTTAAAATGGCAAGTAGATGTAGCCTAGTTAAAATGTCAAGTAGATGTAGCCTAGTTAAAATGTCAAGTATGAATAGCCCTGTTGAAATGGCCTTTACTCCTATGTTAAACTAAAACTTTGAGTGCAACATATGTACACACGAATGCAAAAAGGTGCTATGTAGTTCGGGAGATATTGGTCAATTTTTTTGTTAAGATAATGGGTGGGTGAGAGATGGTGGAGTGGGGCATTTAGTCAATCAGAGGCTATCATACCCACATCTGAGTGTCATTTTACACGGCACTTATTATCTAGATGTCTTAAGAGTGTGACCGGAAAATAAAGAAGTGGAAAATTGCTCTACATATTTGATATTTCAAAATGCACAATCAACCAGCTTGTTTGGTGTTGTTTGTTAATGTTTTAATATTTAATGTTGTGAAATTTAACAAAAGTTTACTAAAAAAAGAAAATTTACGTAGAAAACATTCAGTAAAAAAAACTATTCGATCAGAAATGTTGCGTGTCAATATGTCTTCTATGTAGTAAATATAATTTAACGAGCCAACCCTGGAAGTACCATACGTCGCTTTTTTTTATTAATGGTCGATTGTCCTCCCCTCCCTTCCCCCCCCCCCCCCCCACCCCCCCCCCACCCCCCCCCCCCACTCCAGTGAAAGCCGCCGTCTGTGACGAGAGTTTACAGATGACAATGAAAAAATCAAGCAGAATTTTTTTGCCTCCCCTTAGTTTCAAATCGTTTAAAAACTAAATTATCTGGCCCTGTAGCCGTCATTAATTCGACCCGGCTCTACGATTGTAAACGTTCAGCGTGAACCACAGCTCAGCAGACTGGTGGGGGTAGGGGTGATAGTGATGTGATCTATCGCGCATGCCTGGAGAGCGAGGGAGGGGGCGGGAGGAGGGTTAGAGAGTCAGAATGCGTGCGTGGTGTCCCGCATGGTTGGGCGAAAAATATTGAAAGAAAAAGTTGCTACACATTTCCTTAATTATCATTTGAAAATATTCAATTTTTAAATAAATATAGATCTTATAACTGCTTTATCATACTCTGGTACAATTTTTTTCCACCGTTCAGTATTTGGAGGTCAGATTTGAGTCAAGAGTTGTCCGCCTTGTGGGGACGATGCTGATGATTCTCTCACAGGCAAAAGAACATGGTGGGTTGTGGTGGTAAGTTATGTTTTGAGAGAGGTGATGTTCAAATGGGTGGCACCATAGAGACTGCTCTCTGTTGTATGTACGTGTCACTAGTGAGTCATGTATTGAGAGAGTTGATTATAAGAGGTTACTGGTTACCTGACCTGACAATATTTAACAGTCGCTGCAACATGACTACAGATATTATAATATTATGTACTCCCTTTTTTCTCTTTCAGGTGATCTACATGGGCATCGTTTCATTTGCTCCCTCTACAGCTTTAGAAGCAGGTCAGATCCTTGTCTTATTACGTGACGTTTGTATTAGCTGCATAAGATATAGGGCTATTGGATGTGTTTCTAGACAGGTTTTTATAGAAATTTTACAACATAAAATGTAACTAGACTAACTTTTATTTTAGTAACGGGCTTTCCAATGTGGGGAACAATTTTAAGTATTGGAGCTGTTGGTACGCTCTATACTACAATTGTAAGTATGGTGGGTGGCAATGTAATGATACGCTGACACAGAGAAAACCAGCGTATATATATATATATATATATATATATATATATATATATATATATATATATATATATATATATATATATATATATATGATCAAATTGTTTTAGGGAGGTATGAAAGCGGTAATCTGGACAGATGTCTTCCAATCTGTGATAATGCTGGCTGGTATTTTGGCCATTGTCATTCAGGTTGGTTTATGTCAATTGTGTTTTTAGCATTCAGAACAATTTGATTTAGATTTGAAGGATTTGATCATGTCGTTATAACCTTTGACCTGTTGTTTCAGGGTACTCTAAAAGTTGGTGGTATGTCACGTGTGTGGGAGATCAATGAGGCGTGGGACAGGATCAAATTCTTCAAGTTAGTGTTTCTTTTTTGACAAATGTATTACATTTTATAGCAGATATGTCGAGTTACCATATACGTATTTATAGCGTAGCCTAAGATGAAAGTCTTTTACCCACACGTACGAGTCTGTGTTACTGAATGTCTACACGTCTGCTCCAGCTTTGACCCCAGCCCTGTGACACGTCACACAGTCTGGAACTTGGTGATTGGGACAGCTTTAAACTGGATGGGAACGTACGGGGTCAACCAGGCCAGTGTCCAGCGATATTTAAGTCTACCGACGTTACGTAAAGCCATGACGTAAGCTTTCTAAAGACTACAGAAATAAGTGTAATTATTGTTTTTAATGGTCAAATAATTCTTCAGCAGAAATATTTGCAATACTATTTTTTCTTGCTTAATTAAAATTGATATTTCTAATTATTCACGCATCAAAAAGTTGAGTGTGACCTACAAAGTTCAAGATCTTTTTATAGAGCATTAATGGTGTAAGATTAGACCTGACCCAGCACTGAACTCTGCTCTAATCTTAGCTTTGAATACATTGGGAAACTAGTTGTAGAAAATCCTGATATCAATTAACTCTGTTAGGCAGCACTGGGCTAACCCGTGTGATGAGTCAGAGGACCAAATTTATCCTCAGGTACAACCCGACATTGGCGGGGGGGGGGGGTTGTGTATGAATGTCAATAACATTTCGTGTTTAAATTAAATGTCTACACTGTGAATCCAGGTCAGTGTTGCTCAACATCCTGGGTGTGTTCATTTTGTTGACCTTGACCTGTGTCTCTGGTGTTGTCATCTTCGCTTATTACGCCAATCAAAACTGTAATCCTCTGGGTCAGAAGCTGGTCAAGAGCTCCAATCAGGTTAGTGTGTGGGATGGTGACCTATTAAATGTAACTCAAACCAATCTGCTGGAATTTGTTAGTGAGCTGATAAGAAATCAAATAACGCTCAAACAACACGTTCTTTGTTTGTCCCCAGCTAGTTCCCTACTTTGTGATGGAGACTTTGGGATACCCCGGAGTTCCTGGACTATTTATAGCTTGTTTGTTCTCTGGAGTTTTAATGTGACTTCACATCCGCGTCTAGAATTGATAAACCAGTGTTTGTTTTCCATGTCAAATGTTTTAGTTCTATGGATAATGTTTTAGTTCTATGCCCAATGTTTTCGTTTTATGGCCAATGTTTTCGTTTTATTGCTAATGTTTTAGTTCTATGGCCAATGTTTAAGTTCTATGGCCAATGTTTTAGTTCTATAACCAATATTTCAGTTCTATGGCTCATGTTTATGCTATATGTCCAATGTCTAAGCTCTGTCTCGACTTTGTTTAGCTCCGTGTCGTCTTCACTGAATGCACTAGGAGCCATCACTTGGGAAGATGTGCTGAAGCCCAGATACGATCACAGGTTGACGGAGTATCAGAAGACTTTAGTCACCAAAGCTACAGGTATTTTTATACAGAGTATCAGAAGACTTTAGACACCAAAGCTACAGGTATTTTTATACAGAGTATCAGAAGACTCTAGTCACCAAAGCTACAGGTATTTTTATACAGAGTATCAGAAGACTCTAGTCACCAAAGCTACAGGTATTTTTATACAGAGTATCAGAAGACTTAAGTCACCAATGCTACAGGTATTTTTATACAGAGTATCAGAAGACTTAAGTCACCAAAGCTTCAGGTATTTTTATACAGAGTATCAGAAGACTTTAGTCACCAAAGCTACAGGTATTTTTATACAGAGTATCAGAAGACTTTAGTCACCAAAGCTACAGGTATTTTTATACAGAGTATCAGAAGACTTTAGTCACTAAAGCTACAGGTATTTTTATACAGAGTATCAGAAGACTCTGGTCACCAAAGCTACAGTTATTTTTATACAGAGTATCAGAAGACTTTAGTCACCAAAGCTACAGGTATTTTTATACAGAGTATCAGAAGACTTTAGTCACCAAAGCTACAGGTATTTTTATACAGAGTATCAGAAGACTTTAGTCACCAAAGCTACAGGAATTTTTATACAGAGTATCAGAAGACTTAAGTCACCAATGCTACAGGTATTTTTATACAGAGTATCAGAAGACTTAAGTCACCAAAGCTACAGGTATTTTTATACAGAGTATCAGAAGACTTTAGTCACCAAAGCTACAGGTATTTTTATACAGAGTATCAGAAGACTTTAGTCACCAAAGCTACAGGTATTTTTATACAGAGTATAAGAAGACTTTAGTCACCAAAGCTACAGGTATTTTTATACAGAGTATCAGAAGACTTTAGTCACCAAAGCTACAGGTATTTTTATACAGAGTATCAGAAGACTTTAGTCACTAAAGCTACAGGAATTTTTATACAGAGTATCAGAAGACTTTAGTCACCAAAGCTACAGATATTTTTATACAGAGTATCAGAAAGCTTTAGTCACCAAAGCTACAGGTATTTTTATACAGAGTATCAGAAGACTTTAGTCACCAAAGCTACAGGTATTTTTATACAGAGTATCAGAAGACTTTAGTCACCAAAGCTACAGGTATTTTTATACAGAGTATCAGAAGACTTTAGTCACTAAAGCTACAGGAATTTTTATACAGAGTATCAGAAGACTTTAGTCACCAAAGCTACAGGTATTTTTATACAGAGTATCAGAAAGCTTTAGTCACCAAAGCTACAGGTATTTTTATACAGAGTATCAGAAGACTCTGGTCACCAAAGCTACAGATATTTTTATACAGAGTATCAGAAGACTTTGGTCAACAAAGCTACAGGTATTTTTATACAGAGTATCAGAAGACTGTGGTCACCTAAGCTACAGGTATATTTATACAGAGCTGTGTGATACTAGCTTGATGGTTACATTGTGTTTGTAGCTATAGTGACATATGTTTGCTTTATCTTTGGTCTCAATATGGCTGTGTGTTCAGGTAGTAGACCTTACGAGAGCTAACTCGAATGTCTCGAGTTCTAATCCCGGGCTTGTGTACCTAGGGCGTTTCCATTTTACTAAGCCTTAATGGGTAGGCCTACCTAATTCACTTAAAGGAAAGGTGACTGGGCTTGCCACATTAACCCTTTATATGCCGAGACTACTGAAAAAAGGTTAACTCTACTTTACCTGCCGCATCTATCGCCATGTTTGAAAGTTTACTTTAACCTTTGAACTTAGGCTGATGCCAATATTGTATGGCTGTTTGATGAAAGGTCCTTCAACTTTGACCTCAAGTCACACGGTCTAGGAGACTTGAAAAATAAGAACCTATTCCAGTTGTGTTATCATGTATTAAAGTATACCTTTGTATAATGTAACAGTTAAAAAGTCAGCTTTTTTTCTTCTAGTGGCCATCTACGGATGTTTGGACATTGGCGTCAGTTTTTTGGCTCAAACTATAGACGGGACTGTTCTACAGGTAACGTGCTTTTGTTTATGACAGCAGTTTGTGATGTGTAATAAACATGTTTTACTGTAAATGTTATTTTGTATCTCCACCAGATATATGTGTGTTTTACTGTGGATGTTATCTTGTATCTCCTCCCCCAGATAGATGTGTGTTTTACTGTGGATGTTATCTTGTATCTCCTCCCCCAGATAGATGTGTGTTTTACTGTGGATGTTATCTTGTATCTCCTCCCCCAGATAGATGTGTGTTTTACTGTGGATGTTATCTTGTATCTCCTCCCCCAGATAGATGTGTGTTTTACTGTGGATGTTATCTTGTATCTCCTCCCCAGATATCTGTGTTTTACTGTAGATGTAATCTTGTATCTCCTCCCCAGATATCTGTGTTTTACTGTAAATGTAATCTTGTATCTCCTCCACATATATATGTGTTTTACTGTGGATGTTATCTTGTATCTCCTCCCCAGATATCTGTGTTTTACTGTAAATGTAATCTTGTATCTTCTCCCCCAGATAGATGTGTGTTTTACTGTGGATGTTATCTTGTATCTCCTCCCCAGATAGATGTGTGTTTTACTGTGGATGTAATCTTGTATCTCCTCCCCCAGATAGATGTGTTTTACTGTAAATGTAATCTTGTATCTCCTCCCCAGATATCTGTGTTTACTGTGGATGTTATCTTGTATCTCCTCCCCAGATATCTGTGTTTTACTGTAAATGTAATCTTGTATCTCCTCCCCCAGATAGATGTGTGTTTTACTGTGGATGTTATCTTGTATCTCCTCCCCCAGATAGATGTGTGTTTTACTGTGGATGTTATCTTGTATCTCCTCCCCCAGATAGATGTGTGTTTTACTGTGGATGTTATCTTGTATCTCCTCCCCCAGATAGATGTGTGTTTTACTGTGGATGTTATCTTGTATCTCCTCCCCCAGATAGATGTGTGTTTTACTGTGGATGTTATCTTGTATCTCCTACCCAGATATCTGTGTTTTACTGTAGATGTAATCTTGTATCTCCTCCCCAGATATCTGTGTTTTACTGTAAATGTAATCTTGTATCTCCTCCACATATATCTGTGTTTTACTGTGGATGTTATCTTGTATCTCCTCCCCAGATATCTGTGTTTTACTGTAAATGTAATCTTGTATCTCCTCCCCCAGATAGATGTGTGTTTTACTGTGGATGTAATCTTGTATCTCCTCCCCCAGATAGATGTGTGTTTTACTGTGGATGTAATCTTGTATCTCCTCCCCCAGATAGATGTGTTTTACTGTGGATGTAATCTTGTATCTCCTCTCCAGATATCTATGTTTTACTGTGGATGTAATCTTGTATCTCCTCCCCAGATATCTGTGTTTTACTGTAGATGTAATCTTGTATCTCCTCCCCAGATATCTGTGTTTTACTGTGGATTTAATCTTGTATCTCCTCCCCAGATATATGTGTTTTACTGTAGATGTAATCTTGTATCTCCTCCCCAGGTATCTGTGTTTTACTGTAGATGTAACCTTGTATCTCCTCCCCCAGATATCTGTGTTTTACTGTAGATGTAATCTTGTATCTCCACCCCCCTCCCTCAGGCCTATGTGTCTCTGGGTGATTCTGTGGCTGGGCCCCTGTACGGGATGTTTGTGTTGGCAGCATTTTTCCCCTGGGCCAACAGTTACGTAAGTTTTTTTATTCCACATTAATGGTTGTTTACCTAGAATATACTTTTTTTATCGATTATCTAGAAGGGTAAGAATTCGATTTTCGAGTCGCACATCTTTATCGACAGCTAGACTAAACACCATTTCGTTTTTCTGTAACAGGCCACATATCTGGTGATCTACTTGTGCTTTGAAGTCTGACTTAACTTGATTGTGTTTCTATCACAGGGCGCCATATCAGGAGCTCTAGTTGCTGTAGCACTGAGTATGTGGGTGTCCATTGGTTTCTATGTCTACGGCATACGTCTACCTCCAAAGTCATTTCCTAACGGGACGTGTGCGGGGTATTTCAATGTGTCCACCATGTCACCTGTCACTGACATGACAACTGCTACAACCTTGACCTTTACAATGACCTTGACATCTACTGTAGGCTTATCTCCAGCTGTTAAGAGGTAAAAGTTTCAGACGAAAACGTTTTTAGTTTAAAATAATGTGTGAGTCATTTCCCGTCTAATTTGTTTGAATGTTCTTTTACAACAGTAAGGTGGATGGTGCTTTTAGTGCTGTCGGGCTATAGAAATAAAGAAGTTTAGGATAAACCAACCAGTTATTGAGAAAACACGTAGAAATGAAAATATGTTTATTAAAAGTTTCCCAGAAATATGCGCTATGTGTGTGTAATTTTCTTATTTGCGCAATTTCTGTGTGTGCAAAATCTCTTTGCGCATTTTTCTGCTGGTGCATTTTTCCCTTGCGCACTTTTAGTGTTCTAGTTTCCGTATACGAGAAAGTACGTAGTAGTAAAACGATGAACGCTTCCCAAATATCTGTTAATTATTCAGAACGATAACGAGCTTCCTCTATACTCTGTACACGAGAACATAAAAATATGATTTCTTTGAAATCGTCCATAATTATACTTATAAATTTTGTTTTCCAGAGAGGGAATTCAGATGTTGTATGGATTATCTTATGCCTGGTTCTCTACACTGGGCATGGTGACTGTGATAGTGGTAGGACTGATCGTGAGTTTTATTACAGGTAACTGCTCTGTTATTCTCTCAATGATATAGCGCTGACTGTATACAAGAATGTCTGTCTGTGTTATAAAACTTTGGTAGCTGATCTCTTTCTGTCATGAGCAGGAGCCAATTCAACAAATGACGTCCCAACCAAATATCAGATCCCTGTCTTCACACGTCTGTGTTGTTGTTTGCCCAACTCCTGGCTTCATTTTCTCAATTGTTATAGACCCTTCCAGAGACCTCAGGCATAAAAATAACAATTTAATATTTCTTATTCTTTTTAACGAAATTCCATTAGATATTTTTAAGTAGTTATAATATAATTTAGTAAAAAATATCGTATGACTGAGACAGCCATTTGTAAATAAAGTTTTGGAAATTGCTTATATACAGGATACTGTAGGAAAATTAGTCCCATAACAAACGAAACATAAGAGTATAAAGATTAACAGAATTTGTGAAAACGGGACAAAGTCATCTGCCAGCAGGTTAACTCCTGCATCTGTACATAGAGAATATCTCAGTCGTGGCACATCATTACACATTTATGTTGCACTATGTTAGAGACCTGCCTATCTCCAACATAGTGTGTTGTGTGACAGAAGCAGAAATACTGAATGACACACTGTTGAATATTTACAATCAGAACTAAACTAACAGCCAGATACTTTCAATAATAACACAAACTCAAACTGTTGAACCATAGAATCAACCGACTTCTGTATTTCGGAGCACACAGTGTTACAGCAATAGTGCATCAACACCACAAGTGTCGCTCTCTACGGTCTAATACACTCTGACAAGTCTCAAAACGTTCTTACCCTGTCTTCGTCCTGACGTTTCTATACAGTTTATCATCACACATGGCAGAGAGTAAAACATTGGCATGAGAGTGTCCTCCCTAATCCTCTAGTAGGCCACAAGTTGTAAACAAACCAAGAGAGATCATTAGGGAGGGTACTATTACAGTTTAATTGTGATCGAAGATCCATTTATAGATATTATTGTTTCTCTTGTGTCAGGATATCAGGTCTGAAGAGAAGGATGAAGATATTTTAGTGGTTGCCCCACTTAACGGTCAAGATGTTAAGTATGTTCTCAACGGTGACTCTAAACTTGGTATGTATTATGTAAAGCATATCTTTTAGATCCTGATTGAGTATAGTAGATCTATTATGTTTTGATTGGGTATATTATGTCTATTATGTCCTGATTGAGTATAGTAGATCTATTATGTTTTGATTGGGTATACTATATCTATTATGTCCTGATTGAGTATAGTAGATCTATTATGTTTTGATTGGGTATACTATATCTATTATGTCCTGATTGAGTATAGTAGATCTATTATGTTTTGATTGGGTATACTATATCTATCATGTCCTGATTGAGTATAGTAGATATATTATGTTTTGATTGGGTATACTATATCTATCATGTCCTGATTGAGTATAGTAGATATATTATGTTTTGATTGGGTATACTATATCAATTATGTTTTGATTGGGTACACTATATCTATTATTATATCTAAATACGAATCTTGTGTGGGTAGGGCAAGCTACACGCGTCTATCCAAATGCGATGGGTTTTTTTTTTTTTTAAATTAAATCACCTTAGTACAAAAACGTCAAGTAAACACAGTCATGTTACCTTAAACAGATATTTTACACAGAGCCTACTGAAAATAGCTTACAGTAAAGTTATCGAATATATTTTACACTGAATAACTGAAATATTTTTTTACTAAACTAAGTAAAACTTTTTTAAAAACTGAACGAACAAAATGTGTAACCCTCAGGACAAGACTTGAAAGCTCAACCAGTTTCGGACACAGAGCTGCAACAAATATCACGTGACCACAAGGGTCGTCAAACTGACTTAAATAGAGACGCAAATCCTAGCACTCCTCGAGAAAACAACAACCCAGTTACACCATAACACATCCTGAAACTATACGGAAAAACCTCATACCAGTTACATCATAACACATCCTGAAACTCTACGGAAAATAACATCATTGTTACATCATTGTTACATCTTAATACATCTCTTCCTAAATATTAGTTAAGGTATCCAATAGATAATACAGTGAACTACGCATTTTTTTAAAAATAGTTATTTAAATAGTAGTGTGTTATTTTATATTTAAAGAATATCATTTATTTTCTCCTTTTTAGTGCATTATTACATAAACGATTGTTATTAAAACGTTACAAGCTTTTATTTAACTTGCATCCTCTGTTTGTCGTGCTTTTGTCGTGCTTTGGTCTGTCGTCATAGATCGAAACGGGCGAGCGAAATTTCGAGCACTTCTAACCGATCAATTTCTCTGATATTCGACACGTGGGTCAAGGCCCGACGACTTTGTAATCTGACATAAGATTTCACTTAATTAGATGATTAATTATATGATTTTTATAAATTAATTAAAACTTTCTGAAATTAAAAGGGTGCCCTAGTACTATTCCGCACTATTAAAACGCACATTATCATGTTCATTTAGTGAGCAATTGTTTTTAGTCATGAAACTCTTGTACATTGAAAATATAAAGTACTGAAAAAATGCATTGAAAAAATGCATATACACGTTTTAATAACAAGCTTTTATGTAATAATGCACTAAAAAGGAGAAAATACATAATTTTATTAGCTTTTTTTTATTAGCTTTTTAAAATTAAATATTGACGTGGCGTGTACGATTCCGGCAAAAGCGAGACTGTAGCGACGTTTACCTGACGACTTTTTAAAAGACATTTAAGGCTGACACACCTGGTATTTTAAACTTTTAAATAATAGCTAATATTAGGTCAATTTTAAGATGAAAATAAAACAAACGCTTTCTTGTAAAAAATATTACCAATAAATTAGCATATACCATACTAGATATTAAAATGTGTTGCTTTGTTTGAAAAATCAAATAGTGAATAATTCTTATGTTTAACAGTGAAGAAAAATGTATCTGACTTCACTCTCTTTAGCTTAAAATTTTGCCCCTAGAATGACAGACTTTATAGTGTAGAAATCAAAAGCTCTAACAAATTATTAAGCTAATGTCTTAAGCGTCTTTTTTTTTAAATTAAAAGTAAAAAAAATGTCCTCGCACATTGGAAACTACAGGGAAAGTATCCAGCTTGATTTTTTTTAGTGAATTTTAAATTCACTTGAAAAAAAATGTTTAAACATTTATTTTAAACAGATTATTTTTCTATACAGATTTTAAAAAGCTATCAATTTTTCCGCATGATGATAGTAAAAAAAAATTATTTTTTTCTGGCGCAGTCTAAGCTTCCCTAACCAAACCAAATCTGAATTTAAAACTGTATAGCCATTCAGTATCAATAATTTAATTAACAATGTTTGAATACCCCAACGGGTTGAATATACTTTTATTATCTCGCTTTTAATTTAATTACTATACATATGATTTATAATCATGTCTTTGAAACTGCATAAAACTGCTAAGGAAATTGTTATTATTGTTTTAAATGTTTAAAATAAATTTATATAAAAAGAATCCTTCTATTTTTTCTTTATTTTTAGTTAAAATATTTACAATTTTTTTCTTTAATCCCAAATTTCTTTCATCTCTAGTTAAAAGCCCAAACCCCCTAAACCCACCCCACCGAAAAACAACAAATCACCATTTAATTAAACTTTTGCAATTTCAGGTTTTTTAAAAAAAATTGTAAATAGACGTTTTGTATTATTTATAAGTAAACCATCTTACATTAATGAAAGAACATGTCAGAAAGAAGTATTACTATTGTAAATCTGTATCGGTCCTCACAAGCCGATGATGAAAACTATAACACCAAAGCTAACATGGCAATGCAAACACACTGTAAATTACAGGTCTGAGGCAAAAATTAAATTAAAATATAAAATAAAATAAACATGAAAAAAAAGTATCTCGCGGCCTAACTTGATGAGCGCCTGACACCTCTTCAATCACAACTCGAATGTGCTTGTGTTGAAATCATCTTTTAATACAGGTAACGTCAAAAGATTTTTAAATTTGATATTTACCTAATCCTAAGTTTGGGGAATTTTAGCACATTGACTATATAATGATATTTACCTAATCCAAAGTTTGGGCTGAGGAATTTTAGAACATTTATTACATAACGACCAGTGGCGGATTAAGGGGGGGGGGCTGAGGGGACTGCAGTCAGTGGTCCTCGATTTTTAGGGGCCCCCAAATTTTCACTTACAAACCATAGTAAATTTAACTTCGCAACTTGATTGTTTGTTTACTATAAAAATAAATGGTTTGAAACATAAATCACAATTTTCTTTTCCATTTTTTTAAATATCAAACATATTGACACACTTTACTATAAATACCAGTTGTCATCATCTCCTACTCAGACGTTATGTACATTAAGCTGATAATCCCTAACATAGTCCGGACCAGTGTTCGCTTATGTCAATAAAATGAGTTGGTTTTAGAGTTTAAAAAAAAGACCACAAACAGCAGCAGAATTCAGACCAAACATTTTTAGGCTTACGATTGACCCTCTTTAAAATAGTAAGAGGAATTTGAAAGTCATTTTGTCAGATAACACCAGATTGTGTTGTAAAGTGAGTAATGATAAAATAAAGCACAAATGTTAGACATAGGGTCTACACTGTTTATTAAATCTCACTCGCAAGCATTTTAAGTGGGCCCCAAATTCGCCCCAAATAACTCATTTTTTATTTCTACAGACGTTTATTTTTTGTCAGTTAATTGATTGTTTTAATGTCTAAATTAACGCTATTTTTAAATAAACCAAGGCCACACAAAAATCCTTTGTTTACAGCAGCTGACATCGCTTTCCCCACGGAAAAAAATTACCTAAAGCGATTCATTTTAAATAATAGAAATATTTTTTTCTGGCACATAAATGGGTTCGTCAGCCTGTAACAGAAAAAAAAAACTGAATCTCATCAAAACAAAATAAAATACAATTTTTACTACACGTTTGTTTATGATTAATCCGCCTAATTGTTAACAAGAATTGACCAGCTAGTGATAGGCCGCACCCTTAAGCCATATAGCCCCTAGAAAATAGAAAATCGTATAGACCTACTGATCTACACCGATCGGAAATACAACGTTTTTGTAAGGTAAGACTTGTGTTTTAGTGTGTTATTGGAAGTGACAGGTCGTATAGTAACGCGGTTTGTATGTACCAAATCAACAATAATTAAAACCGAATCTTGACGCCAAGTGTTAACAACAAGGACATGGTGAGGTTTAGGCCCT